TACTATCACTGTCTATATTTCTTAGTTCGAAATTTCTGATATATTCAAGTTGTTTTATTCACTGATAACTAATTCTTTATTCACGTGACGTAACTGGACCGCAATGCATTCTACCTTAATTTTATATTCCTATATATAAAGTATCCAGTTGAAGAGTTCTACCAAAATTGAATAAATTTACTAAATCCTCCTTTATTAACTTTCGGCTGCTAGTTTCAAATTAATATCAGGGAATAAATGTTGCCATCATAAAGATATATTTAGTGACCTGAATTATCTGTGCGTCGGAGGTACAGCGGTATAGTGCTCACCGACCCCTGTCAGGTGGTCCGGCGTTCGATGCCCGGCTAAAGCACTTCCTTACCTCTCTCTAAGCCAGTAGTAAGACTGGTAAAGAGGGAAGGTTGGGCATGAGGCAGGTTAGCAACCCCATCCCGTAAAAATAATCACCACTGCTACAGAAACTTCAGGCCTGTATCTTGAAGCTCTATATTCCATTGGGAACGTGAAGGAATAAAATCAAATCTGAATTATCACATCCGAAATGAATAAAATTTTCAACATGGAATTTCACGCAAATGTATACCACACATTTCGTACAAGTTAGAGAAAAGAGGAAATGCAAAAGAGCTTTCAATAAACTGAGAGGTATGGGATAAAGAATAATTGCACGGAGAATAGTGAGGATTAAGTGGATTTGAGAGTCCATAAAGATCAGTACACAGAAAACCTACATGGAACGGTCAGTTGACAAACTTCTGCAGTTGGGTACCAATTAGTCGCAAGCGAAACTCGATAATATCTCTGGCGACTAGAATCCGAAAAATCTGTAGTCCTGAATCAATAGAAGAAGAGATCGCCCTATTAAGGAAGACACTGCTCGAGAATGGCTACCCACCCCGTTTTATAGACAGGCATATTAAGCCTAAGACTCACAAAGAACAACCCATTACAGTGCAGAAGAAGATGGTCTACATGAATGTACCCTTCAAAGGTGACCTTCTAGCTGACACCTTGTAGAAGAGGATATCTACTGCTCTCAGAAGGACATTCTTCGCTGCCACACTACGACTGACATTTTCCTCCCGGCCATTGTTCTTCAACTACTCTAAAGATAAACTATCGCATTTGACCACTTCCATGTGTATCTACCAATTCAGCTGCTCTTGCGGAGCGAGGTATATAGGTCGTTCAATGCGAGTTTTATCTAAAAGAGTTCAAGAACACTATCCCGCCTGGGTACGGAAAGGTAACAACGGAGCAATAAGGAGCGCCATTATTGAGCATATACTCAACACTGGTCATTCGATTTGCAAGAATAAGTCGTTCAAAGTCATCTGTAAAGTTAAAAGAAGCCTTCCAAAATCGACAAGCTTCAGTATACTTTGTAATGCCGAAGCCTTAGCGATTTGGATAGAAAAGCCTGAGTTATGCACACAGAAGAAACTTCTCCACCCCCTCCTATTACCGTGGGTTTAATTTCAAGTTTATCTGTCATCAACATTTTGTTATCAAATTTTTGTTTTGCAATCTTCGTATAATAATTTGTAGTAACTAACCCATTCAATCTTTTCACCTATTACCTAGTTTATTTTCATAATTGTCTCCATACTCCTTCACCAACATCTAATCTTTCTAAACATGTCTATATTACGTAACCCTACTCACATTTTACCAATCTTCACCCCACTTAGTTACAACTTTGGTTGTTAATCACACATTTTAATTTCTTTATTATTTTGATGATATAATCAACAACCCACACTAACTGTTATTTTGATTCTGACAAACCTAATGTACACACACACACACACACAAAATAATTGTATATATTTGCGACTGTACAGCTAAGTGAATGAATTCGCCAAAAAAAGAGACTCTTCGCTGAACTAATTTGTTCTTAGTCCATAAAGAATCAGTTCATCTGCATTTCTGACAACGGTTTTTCAGACATGTCAACCAACCAGCTTAAGCTATTTTAGTTCCTAGCCTCCCAAAGAACAAAGTGAGGCAGCCTAAACCACCCTACACAGTTCAAACCAAATGTCAAAGGCTTCACAGATTGATGCCAGATTTTAACTTTTCATCGCGGTTACTCTTTTGCAATCTAATCCTATTTCGACTAACCTTGCTAGAAGAGATGAGTAATGGCTTGGCATGAGTAACATATACCCTCGTCATCTCGATCGATCGATGTAGCTCCACAACCTCATCGACTGACAGCCCCTCATTACCAAACACTCTACACCTAACTTAATTATTGCCCACCTTATTATAACAGCTAAAAAAGGGAAACAGAATGCAAAGTCCGCTAGCAATTTCAAATCTTTCACCTTGATAATTTCCAACTTCAAAACTGCTGGTATCCTGGATAAAAATAACAATACGCTAATTAAAGTAAGCATTACTTTCCTCTGAAAAATAATCGTCTTTATTGGCATTCGACACAGCGCTATACTGAGCGTAGTTACTCCAATTCAATTATCGTGAAGCCTAGACTAGTCAGCCTAAGCACCAGACTTTTAGTCAACAAGTTTTGGAATCAAATATAGCTTCAACCTATGCAATTAGAGATGGTATAATTAGCCCATACACATTCTGTGGCTCTCAGCCAGATGTCAAGTAACTAACTAACCCATTTAACCGCCAACGTTTTTACACTTCCTTGATTATACACCTGCTTTCAACTCTGTACCTAGAGGCCTATTGTTAAACAAGCTTAGCCTTACACAACCTGAGTCCTGGACTATCAACTGGCTACACTCTTACTACTCTAAGAGGATGCAGCACACGGTATATAATGGTGTATCTTCCTCTCCTTTGCTTGCTGAAGCTGGAGTTCCTCAGGGTGCTGTTCTCTCTCCGTTTCTCTTTTCCTTCTTCCTACATGATTTACCTCTTTCAGACGAAATCAACTTCGTCAAATATGCAGATGACCTGTCTGTATGGTTTCCCATTAAGTCTCAGTCAGACTGTTTCAAATTAAATAGCTTCCTGTTGGACATCAGTCAGTGGTCTGAACTAAATGGTCTTGTACTGAATCCCTCAAAATGCCAGAATATTGACTTCTCCCACTAGGCATGAACGAGATCTACAAACACTAGTAAGTACTCATGAAGCCTGTTGCATTGAGGGGACTAAAATTGAAACTAAGTCTAATGCAAAATACCTCGGTCTAGTTCTATCTTCCCACATTACTTGGACATCTCATATCCTAACGATTTCTAAGAAATTGTTCTGTCTTACATACTACATTAAGAAACTAAGACAATCTGGAATCACCCAACCTCTACTCTCACAATTTGTCAACTCTCGTATCTTACCTATTCTACTTTACTGCTCCCCATTAGTCTTTCCTGGTCTATTGAAAAAGGACTATACCATCCTGAGAAGGATGTTCAAGGTAGTTAGTAGGACTAGTGATGTAAAACTCAGTCAGCTCGTTACTACATTAGTTGAAAGGCATCTGAATAGATGCGAAAAATGGTCTAAAACCATATTCTCCGACCCCCAACACCCTCTCTATTCCCAACTCTCGCCTTGCATCTCATCAAGTAGAACCAGAAATCAGTATAAAATAATCTATGCTCGTACAACCAAGTACAGGAACTCAACGATACCATATTTGGCCCGTGTTGTAAGTGACAGAGACAATGTTAAGCGTGAAACCCATGATTTGCTTTGTTGTTAATAACATAATTTTAGGCTCTGTTATTTCTCTCTTATTTTGTATTCTATAGTGAACTCCTTCTTCAAACATACATAGCTACCTAAATTATTAACATTGGTTTACTTTTTTGTACTTTAGTCTATTCTTTCTTGTGTATCTACTGGTTCCGACTCTATTAGCACTATGAGTATTACAAAATTGTCCTGTCATTAGCCATCCTGTAATTATTAGTTTTTGTGGTTGTTGTTTCTTTTTATTCAGCAATGCCAACTGATAATCATTGGTTGTGAACGCCATTATCATCTCAAAATTTTGTATTATGCAGGATTACTCACACTACCACTACAAACACCGCATTAGACCTGACAATAAAAAACAAAACAACAACTCTGAAATGTTATTTTATGATTGTTTAGTGTTGGTTTCAACCAAATTAACTGACCATCTTGGCGATAAACATTCTTTTATATCATTTCATAACTTCTTGTATGACTATAGCTTTACTGTCACCATGCATAATCATATCATAGCTTCCACTACCCAATACTGAGATATTATTATATGCTGTTTATTTTCCTTTCTACTTCTTGGTATGTTTTCGAATTTTTTTAGTTATTTTGTGCTTTTAATCTTGCTTTTTTGCTGTTGGTGTCTTTATATTTATTTTTTGAAATACTCCTTTTAAACGCTGGATAAAATTAGATGCAAATATTGTAGATATGTGCTGAAAATTCCACACTGTACCACTAGTACTGTTTCTGGAATAAAGCAAATTATTATTATTAATCTGTGGTATTCAACCTTCAAAGGACTAAATATTTTGTCCTTAAAGTATTTTCAATGTCGAAGCTCTTGAAATTACGACTGAAAGAAGCTGTCAAAGGGGTAATCATTTTGCCATTTAGATACCAAACTTATCTGGAAAGAAAAAAACTGCACCTGTATTTTCCATTGACTAGTTCTTTTATTTATTATTATACTTTTTTGGCATTCTGATATTCTGTACAATAGAAAGCACTTTACAAGATAAAGATCTAATCATAAGTGCCGGTTATCAATTAAAAAGGCAAACTGGACTAGGTGAAAGGCTTGCTTATAATCTGTTTCTTTAACAATACTAATTTAATTTTAACACAACAATATGTACAATGAAGCTCTCCGACAAAGTTTCCTGGATGCTTCCGGTGGAGAAAGAGTAATTTTTATTTAGCCTCCATTGAACAATCCGTCGTTCTTTAAAAAAAGAGAAAATTTCGACTATCATTTCAAAATGGCTTGAGATTATAACAACTCATGTTCCCTCTGTTTCTTTTCACTTGTTATTTAACCTGGGGATTGACGTTGTCCATGGTAGATTGAAGTGTTTCTTTCTGTGTTGCAAAAATAAACTGGCGTTAACCTGATTGCGTTTTTTTTTAATATTTCATCTCGATGTTAATCTTTGCGAAATTGTAGATATTTCAAAGCTTGTACGCCATGCTTCTTTGCTAAGCGCTTTATAAAATCCAGCTTCAAATTATCTATACATGATCTGAAAATATGAGAAAATAGGGTATAATTAGCAGTTCTATATTTTTCTAAATCACGCCAGTATCGGTGAATACATTTCTCAAAGCATTTTATTAAATTACAAAAAAATGAAATTTCATACAATTGGTTCCCTTGATAAATTTCGATAAAGAAAGGCAGACGGAAATTGCAGTATAAAATGATATCATTCTATTTCACAGGTTCTCATCATCTGCAGACTACCTGAAATTACAATGGTTATATAAATGATAATAACATACTTTAATGTTTAAGTGAGAGGTTAATCACACTCTCTTTCTGTATGCATTAGTCTGGTTTAAATCGTTTGATTGCTATCGCTTCGACAAATCGTAGTAAATTTGCTGTCCTATGTCTATTTAATATTTTGAAGGACTTAGAAATCTCTACGAGATGTCCGGTATCAACAATATGTCTGGTAATTGCACTCTGAGAATATTTGCTTCCTTTCAAGCATAGGTTTCTTGGAATATGTTCAGAAAACCGGATAGAAGCCCTTCTTTCTGTCCTTCCAATGTACTTGCTCCAGCAAGTGCACGTAAATTCATAAACGCAGTTGGAGGTGACATCAGCAAGGTTTTTATCCAGTTTTGAGTGGATTATAGAAAGAGTGGTGTTGTAAACTGTTATGAGTTTTGCTGCCGGGAAGCTTCTACTTATTGCTCCTTCCAGTCTTTTGCCACTCTTTTGTGACACTGCATCTCCTTTGAATGGGAGATAAATAAACACTTTTTTTCTTTTCTACAGTTGGATGCTTTTCCTTCTCATCTTTTTCTCTGTTATACTTCTGTATAAATCCCTTAGGGTATCCATTTTCCCTCATGGTATTTCTCAAAGAAATCTAGTTCTTCTTCGACCTTGTTTGGTGAACATAGCTTCCTGGCTCTGTCGTACAAATTCCTCACTAATCCACGTTTGTAATGCTTAAATCCTTTTCGGATGCGTCAATTTTATCTCTTCTCTACTACTACTCAAACATTAAAGTATGTTATTATCATTTATATAACCATTGTAATTTCAGGTAGTCTGCAGATGATGAGAACCTGTGAAATAGAATGATATCATTTTATACTGCAAATTTCGTCTTCCTTTCTTTATCGAAAAATGAAATTTGATGCGTGAAGGTTAAAATAGCAAAAATTGGTTTGAGAGTAATCAGAAGTCATATCCATTTACCTGATTGATAGTTAAAAGTTGTTTGTCCAGCGATGGCTAGCGCTGGAATTCAGGACGCGCTCCTATCCTGTTCAAAAAACATAAGCTAAATGTACCTAGTTCTCATTCAGTGTTGGTCTCCCCACTAAGACTGAAACCCAATACCTATCGCTTCAAAAGCCAGAGTGTTATAACCTGAAAAATTCAGCCACTGGCATATAACATTATTGACAATTCAATACTTTTAAAGGTCAACTGGGAAACTAAAACTAAATATCGCGAAGAATAAAATAAACCATGAGGCGAAATGACTGCCGCGGTGTCTTGAGTTAGTCATAAATGTTGTCATTACATGATTATTATTCCAACTGAGTTCCGAGAGGAATGTAGGGATTCAGCGACACATCTTTATTTCATCCTGTCCTCTGAATTCTTCTTCTATGGATGGCTCCACGATTGCTCATAAACTCTCACCTCATCCTCATCCAATCGCCATGTCACTATCGGATGGATACCCAACTAGCCGTTTTCAGTTCGAGTTCCACTCGACGGCCTGGTGCGAGATTTCATTCACTGACCTTCTCAGAGTGTATCTGATCTATCCCCGTTTCATTCCATATAACCGCTGGGCTATGGGTTCTTGATTGGTTCATTTCCAGATCTCCATGTGTGCATAATCTTTTCATGACATCCGATCTTAAATAAAGAACAAAAGTAGCTGTCAACAAAGGTCTGCATCAGGCCTCTCGAAAAGCTTTTCGTGACGCACACGTCAGGTTTCTGAACCTTATGGGAGCACTGGCTAACCGGACACTAGTGCTGGTTGCAGCAGATTTCCACAGCGACTTAAGAGTAATAAATAATAAATAAATAATGGTAATCCTCAGACGCTGATGAAACGTTCTCACTATGAGCCAACATGTCAACAGAGACCAGAGATTTCGATCCAATGTAATCAATCAATCAATAACAAATGCAAAATTAAATTAAAAGAAATAATAAGTGGTACCCAATGCACGAGAAGTGGCTGTTGTAGCTCGAATTGCCTAGTAGATAATGCTTTAACTTCAGATTATTCGTGCCAAGGTGGAACACTTCGTTAGCATACCTCACCATTCTGTAGATAGTTGTACTTGTGCAGATATCAGCAGTTCAACCAGCTAAATATCCAACTGATCTTACCTGTATATTTCACATAGACTTTAAAAAGGTTTTAAACGCCATCTATCGCACTAAATAAATACGAGTTCTGACGGACTCATTTTATAATTTTAGGGAAAAATCAGAAAGAAGGACATAACAGTCATCGCTATGAACTAACCAGATGTGGATATTAAGCTTCAAGCCTTAAGCTTTGAAGTTTCAGTTTCAGAAGTCGTGGAGTTACCATCTTCATGCACAACTCTTCCTCTCTTTTCCGGTCCTGCTAATAGGAGTGCATCTGCCAGGAATGGAGCTTAGGCCATCTGTGTGTCTGACAAGTATTCAACAACCGAACTACCAACTCACAATTGTAGATTACTTTGATAATAAGAACTGCAAGAACTGACGAGGAATCATGCTCATGTCGACGCCAAGTAAAATCCTGAGGCGCATCATCCTGGTGAGAATAAAGGATGCATTGAATACATAACTCCGACCAGAACAAGCTAGATTCAGGAAAGTCAAATCATTTTCTGACCAAATTGCAACTCTACGCATCATCATCACACAACAAAGCATGGAATGGTAATCAAACCTCTACCTCAACTTTATACACTTTCAGATGGCCTTCGACAGCGTTGACCGCGAAGTAATTTGGAAACTACTCGAGTGCTACGGCGTACCCCAAATATTCATTAACCTCATTCAACAGCTGTACGACAACATCACATGTCAAGTGATCCACAACGGAAATCTCACCGAGGCGTTTTAAGTAAACACAGGAGTCCGACAAGGGTGCTTATTATCACAAATGATATTCCTAATTGTAATCGACTGGACTGGATTATGCGTCAGACAGTGGGAAACGAGAAGACAGGGATATCCACGGACCGACGTGAAGAACCTAGAAGACCTGGATTTCGCGTGTGGATGATTTATGTTTGATGTCACACAAAATCGAGGACTTACAAGCGAAAACCGACAAACTGGTCGAAGAAGCAGTTGGAGAAGACAGGACTCCAAGTGAACATAGACAAGACGGAGGTTATGAAAATAACCAACCAACAACAACAACAGCAGCAACAGCGACATCCAACGCCAATCACCATCAACGGGAGGGATCTGAAAGAGGTCACTTCATTCACTTATCTAGGCAACCAGCATTGTCTCAACTACAGGAGAAGGTGGAACGGACGAGAATGTCAAATCGAGAATCGGGAAGGCGAGAAACACATTCATCAACCTGAAACCAATCTGGAAATCTTCCACTGTCACTCAACCCAGCCACCATCAACAACAAAATTCGGATTTTCAATACAAACGTCAGTCAAGTCAGTCAGTTCTTCTATACGGATGGATCAGAAACTTGGTGGCGGGTCACAAAGAGTCAGTATTTCCAACAGCCTGTTGCAGACGTTTATCAATAACTGTCTTCGCTGGCTCTATACTGAAGATCAGATGACCGAAAAGAATCACAAACAAGAATCTATGGGAAGAAACAAAACAAACAGGAATCAATCGGCCAACAAATATGCAGGAGAAAAAGGAGATGGATTGGACACTCGCTGGGTGACATCGCGCGTCAGGCCATGGCTCGAGTGGAACCCGAAAGGGAAGTGGCGGCGAGTGGGACGTCAGTGCGAGGGTGGGTGACATGGAGGAGATCGTGTGGAGATGAGTTGAAACAGTATGGATTAACATGGATGCAAGTGAAAAGTACAGCAGAGGACAGAAGCAAGTGGAGATGTGCAGTTGAAGCCGTATGTTCCACTAGGAACACAAGGGAACAATAAAAATAATATAAAAAAGTGGAAGTTTACTTACCTATACGCTGAGTTCATTCGATATCGAAATACTTCAAAACTAGGTGGATGAGGTAGGTGTATAAGAAATGTACTGGCTAAAACAATGAATTTATAACCTAATGCATCTAACGCCATAATATACGAAGCTTTATTCCAACCAAATCCAATGAAATTTTCATCAAATTGCGTTGCATCTCGTGAGACAATCACATATGGTTCATAATCAGCTGACCATTGTACCTTATAATAAGGAAAAGGAAAAAAGAAAGTGATAGAAAATGTGTTTTTATTCAATATTAAATCAGACGAACTGTTGCATTCATTGCTCTTAAAATACTCATTTTTAGCTATACCATAGTAGTTAACCATCTTAAAAATAAAGAAGACATATTTCTTTCATACATGTATTCCCCTTAATGAATTGGAACAAAGCAAGAACTACAGTTTCAGCAGAATAAAACGGTATCATCTTTTATTTCGTCGCCTTCTCGTCACCTGCTTACAGGGCAAAGACATTATTAAATGTATCTACAATAACAACTTAACATACTTGCACAGAGTCCATTTTAAACAAAAATCAATCGATCAGTATTCGCACACACTAATAATATATACATATATATATGCAATATTAAACACTATTCCGAACAATAATAATCATACACAATGAAAACTTTTCAGCATCTCGCATTCCGATGAAAAATATCCAGTTACCAGGGCAAAGAAAGACTGATAACCGCTTCTTTCTGAACTCACAAATCAGGTTTCAGGCGCTTGATGGAAAAGGCTTCAGCAAACTTAAGGAGCATTGAGCTCTTTTGCTTATTGATAATTTTGAACGACTTTTCCACGTCCACTTCATGACCCGTGTCGAGGAGATGCCTGGCGATGGCACTCACTGTTTAAATCATTTGTTCCCTTTAGACGCAAGCTTTTTGGTACATGTTCAGAAAATCGTAGATATGCCCTTCTTCTTTCTGTTCTTCCAATGTAACTGCTCCCGCAGACACATGTAAACTTGTTTATACAGTTGGAGTTAACATGAGAAGGATGTCTATCGATTTTTATATACATTCTTCTGTCAACTCAACGTCATCAGATATCAGATTCCATAAGGATATGGAATCACTGAACTCCTCTTATTAGTACAAATTGACTGAAGTCCCAACACCCCCTCTCTTACATTTGATTTCATCGACAGAAGACACAGTGGCTGGCTGACTGGCTTCCGAAAACTTTCATCAGCCCGCATCATTCTGTCTTTCCGATTCCACGGGAATAAAATAAGTTTTTAATTCCATTTTAAATAAGAAGTTTATTTCAAATATCACATGCTGATGCAGTATTGATAACTGGAGAAAGTTTCAAGAAGAATTTATTGCTCATGTTTTTATTCCTTCACGTTTACAGTGGAACATAGGGCTTCAAGTTAGAGTCTTGAAGCCTCTGTAGCAGTGTTTATTTTTACAGGATGAGGTTGCTAGCCTCATGCCCAAACTTTCCTCTTTACCAGCATCATTTCTGGTTTAGCGAGGCAAAGGAGTGCGTCGACCGGGGATCGAACCTCGGACCATGTGCATTTTCGGCTAGCGTCCTAACCGCTGTGCCACCGACGCACAAATTGCTCATAATCGTATCAAACATTCACACGGCTTTATGATTTGCTTTTTATATATGTATTTCTCTGCCGCATCCTCTTGTTGCTACTTTCCATATCTCTGGTATAGACGTTGCGTATTTGAGATTATACGTGTGCAGTGTTGAATTGATAAACCAAGATTCAGTGATTAACCTCCCTTCCTTTCCATCTAACCATATCACTTTTCAAGTATTTGTTTGGTAGGGATTTTGTTTGGTTGGTTGGAGGTTGATTTCATCATGAGCTGGCATTAGTTTGAGGTCCACTGGAAAATCTGGGAGTACTGGAGAGCCGAGTTTTGGAAATTTATCTGATGCTCACCGGCGACTGGCCCTATTCACCAGGCAGTTATAGTGGTAAGCCGTGACCAGTAGGGTGCATCAGGTCGGGTGTGAGGACAAATACGCACCGAAGACATTGGCTAGCGGTCGCGCTATGTTGTAAATTGGCAGAAGTTGGAATTCATGGGCCTTGTGATTGAGGCATGGTGGTTTAGTGGTCTGTATGGGCTCGCCTTGTAACCAGAAGGTCCTGGATGCGTACTATGAAGAGTCCCAAACTAGGCTGACGAAACAGGTGTCCAGTACTCCCAGCTGGTTTTTCAATGGTCCTCTTACTGAAGTTAGCTCATGATGAAGTCCTCCAACCAATATCACATTTTAATACTCCCACGCCTTGCCTATCGAACCTATTTTGTGATAGCGTGCAAATGAGTGCAGTGCAATGGCTGAGCTTCTTTCTAGGTTATTTTTATTTTTTATATTATTTTGATTACAGCTTGATGCCACACCTTATTTTCAGTACAAGTATGGAATTTTCAGCATGGATATCGGTAGCTCAAATTTTGCAGGCCGACCATAGATATCGGGTGTGCGTCGGCAGGGGATCGAACCTCGGACCATGTGCATGGTCTGCGAGAGTCCTAACCACTGTGCCACCGACGCAAAGGGTCAGTCATCATTCTGGATCTAGCTAAAATTTCTATTTTCCAATAACATAACTGACCCCAATCTACCAGTGTGACCTATGTAATTGACCTCACAGTCATTACACGGTATTTGATAATTATGTTACTTTTTCTTAACTGAATCTCTGGAGTCCTAAAGCCAACAAAGTCTGTCTATTGGAGAGTTGGTTGTTTTTTTAATACCAATGTATTCCAGGGTCATTAAGAATCTTTTGTAGGGTCTCTGACGTTCCGTCTTTATACGGCAGTACTAGAGTGACGGTGAATTCTATATTATTATTTTTTCTGTGGGTCCTCATGCACTTGTGAATAAATTCACTAGTAATTTTGATGTCGTTGGGTTCTCTGAGCTGGATAGTTAATTTGCGAAGCTTTCATCACCCTACTAGGTGACATCTTCAGCGCATACTTCAATTCGTTGAAGTGAGCTTTTAGATTTCTCCACGAGTTTATTAATCATCTCTCCCGGTGACCTTGAACGTGATTGGTTGTTTTTGTGCGTTTTCACACCTTCTAGGTTACTTGTATTGTCACTCATTGTTTCTTTGACTTGAACTTTGACTCTTTGTGTGTGAGGTTTCTTTCTTATCGGTTGATAAATTTTGTCTATCTCGATGTGTCTATTAATTGACGATTCACTGGAATGCCAAGCTTCTAAAACTTCTCTAGCATTCTTCTTGTTTCCTCTGTCTAATATTTGAACGCTGTTTGTCCCAGTCGACTTGATTTCCGAGGTTGTCTGCATGTAGTGATATGAGTGATGGAGTGGATGTCATGTCTTTTGACGGCTAGCTTATGTTCGTGGATACGAAGACGAAGGGGACGTCCACTTTGGCCAATGTAGTGTTTTTCGCAGTTGATACAATCTATTTTGTAGATGATATTGGTTTTATCTTCCTTCGCTGTTGAGTCTTTTGGTTGACACAGCGCTGGCTGAGTGAAGTGATTTTGTTGGTTTATGTGTGACGTCAATTCCTTAAGGTTTGAAGAGTCTTGTAGTGATTTCTGAGATATCCTTTATATATGGTAAGGCGATTTTCTTTGTGCTTTCCTTGGGGCTTTTGGTTTGATAGGTTGAATTGGGGGTATATGTCTTTTGATGAAATTCCTCGGATATCCATTCTTTTGGAAGACGTCCATGAGATATCTTTCTTCAATTTTCCTTAAGGTGGGAGTGCTGCAATGAGTCCTGGCCCTCTTGAATAGTATTTGTATGCAATTCCTTTTGTGTGTTATTGGATTGTTGCTGTTGTAATTCAATATTTGGTCTGTGTGAGTTGATTTTCTATAAACTTGGGTTTCTAATTCCCCCGTGGTTGTTCACTTGACTAAGACATCCAAAAATGGGATTTTGTTCTAGGATTCCTCTTCTCTCGTGAATTTGCTGTCGTTGGGTTTGATCTTTGGTAGGATTATGTTTTCGAGCCTTTGCATCACTGCTTCTGCAATCAAACCTGATATTGGCGATCCCATGGGTGTTCCTTTGACTTGTTCATATATATTCATATATTTCTCCATCATATCCAAATTCACTAGTAATATTTGATTCGTTCCTGCTGGAGCAGCTATGTTTCCCTGACAAAACATACAACTTGATTGATGGATGGGGAATTTCTTCCTTAAGTATGTATGACGTCACAAAAGGACAATACATGATAGGACTGTAACCCTACAATCCTTCTCATATTACCTCTGATTATTCTGAACGTCATAGTTTAGTAATAGTGGAAGTACTTAATAATAGATGACTTTTGAGGGACAGGACACCATCTGAGCTCTGTTTTTAACACTTCGGTGTCTGTTAACACAGAATTCTACCAAAATCATAGTATATAACGCTTAATTTCACGATGATAATAATAGTGGATTTCAATGTTAGCAGCTATCAGACAGTAATTACTGAAGGCACCACCCAAGCACCGTGGCATCTATTCCTTGTGGTTACATTAAAGGAGCTAAAAAATACAGAATACGTTTGGTTTAGTAATACACCATGTTTGAAGTATTTTGGTGACTCATTGCAAAGGATTACTCGCAGTCACACTTTCATACGCGTGAAAATAAAAAGGAATCAGTGAAACTTTTAAGACAGAGAATTCATGAAAATGCATTTCAAGGGACATCTGTAAGTTTTTACTTAGTCATTATCGTTGGATAAAGATTGCTTTAAGTTTAAACGTGTTACTATTATTTCCTCTAATTCTTAGACAAACTTAGGGTCTAAGTCACGCGTCTCCACTGCGTTCGGTTCTCCGACAACGTTTCCACCTGGCTCCAAGTCTGCCCACATGCTTTCATCTCCTCTTCACATGACCTCCTCCAAGTCACTCACCCTCGCACTGACGACCAACTCGCCGCTTCCCTTTCAGGTTCCACTCGAGCGATGGCTTGTCTAGTGATGTCACTTGATGGTTTGTTTCCTCAGAGTATGGCCAGTCAATCCATCTCCATTTCTTCCTGCTTATTTCTTGCACAATCGGTTCCTGGTTGGTTCGCTTTCACAGGTCCGTATTGCTGATCCCTTCTGGCCGGCCATTTGATCTTGAGGAGTATTGAGCGAAGACAGCTGTTATTGAAGATCTGTAGTTTGTTTGAGGTGCTCTTCATGACGCGCAGTGTTAGTCTCTGATCCGTATAGTGAGTAGCACTGAATTCACGTTGGAGTTGAAAATCCGGACCTTATTTTCATGCTGAGTGCTGTTGATCTCCACACAGACTTGAGAGCAATGAAAGCTTGTCTTGCTTTCCCGATCCTCGCTGTTTTGATATCCTCATCAGTTCCTTGCGCCTGTAGTTGAAACGATGCTTCTCAGGTCGATTGGTGAAGGAGGTTGTTTCTTTCAGGTTCCTTCCATTTATACTGGCTGATTGTTTTCTGTTGTTATTGTTGCTGCTGTTGGTGGTGGTGGTTTTGGCCAGGAATCTTCATCACCTCTGTTGTATATATGTTCACCTGAAGTCCTATCTTCCCTGGATGCTTTTCTGCCAACTTGTTTCTTTTCGCTTGCATATCTTCCAATTTGTGGGAAATCAGACATACATCATGATTGGCGAAGCCCAGATCCTCCAAGTCTTTTTTGTGTGAGTCCATTTTATGCCTGTTTCCTCGCTCCCCGCCACTGTCTGTCGCATTACTCAATCTGCTGCAATCAGGAAGATCATTGCCGATAGTTGTCACCCAGTCAGCCAGGTTGTTTTACTTCCATCTTCACTTCGAAGGCATCTGTGAGTTTCTTGTTGTGGATTACTTGGCATGCAGCATTGTCGTCTAGCTGTTTGGTGAGATGTATAATTGTCGGTGGCACTCCTTGGTAGTAGCAAAGTAGTTTCCGACACACCTCTTGATCGACGCTATCGAATCCTTTTTCAAAGTCGATGAAGCTGAGATGTGTTACTCATCAGTAAGGCTTTCACATCACACTCAACCAGATTCATCTGATTCATGATATGAAATTCAGGTTACAATTTTTGCATTCATATTAAAGACGGGATATACAGTATTTAAATGTGCTACATACCATCATTCATATCGCTAAACTTATGAATTGTAGGATGCGAAAAAATGGCTCTTGATTTAGGACACCGGGTTGGCAGCTTTCAGGTATAATGCTAGGCATGTTTGATAGACCATCTGGTGCAAACCGGTCACAAAGCCAGCGTAGACGAATCCTTCTCCATAATATACCGGGTGCCTAACAAACTACCAAAATCGTCGAAGCACCGCTTGCTCCAAACAGCAGAAGCCATTGCAATTCGCCTCAAACAACCAGTGCTCTGTGTCCAAAAGTAACAAGTCCAGCTCCTACTACTGCCCTGGCCCTCAGTAGAAACTATAAACTCATGAATTTGTACTATTATCTTCCATAATTCTTCTGACATTCAGCTTATTTTATGTTGATGCTGTTCAGCTGTTATCTATCAATATTATTGATTTGATGTTATTTAAACAGCAACATTAATGTTGTTCATAAGACTTATTCATTCATTCATTATAATGTATATATAATTGTAGAGCCTGATGATGAATTTATCGAAAAGAGTTCTCTTTGTTCCGTATCTATTCTTTTGAAAATTTTAATGGGCATTTTTAATCAATTAAAATGTTGAGATCTATATGCGTTTATTTTTTACGTAGCTGCTTTCGACTATTGATAAGTTAAAAAAAGAACGTGTGCTGACGAAAAACAACGGTTTATATAAATAAATTTCTAAGATATAGATAGCCGCCCTCATAGATAGACTGAACAAAAGAAAAAACTGTAGATACTTCAGTATTATAAGCACTAGTCATTTTCTCACTCACTCACTCACTTCGTAATCATTATCCGCTGATTTCCAATGAGAGTAATTCGTTGACATGTGACCAGCTGACCATATTTCATGCCTAAATGGCAAAACTTCACCAAGTTCCCACGCTTTTATCAAGCTCTCCTTTGTTTCTGGTAATGATAAATGATTTTTAAAAGTTTCAAATGCAGGTACCACTAAACAAACATTTTTTGATTTATTATCCTAAAAAAGTAAACATTAAATTAGAAAATTATATAGGTATGCGAAATTTAATTTTCTTCTGGGAAATGGTAATTACTATAGAAAACAATTAACAATGATAAGTTTGTGAATGGTCATTTATAATGAAAACTAGGAAACTAGAGTTCTACCATAGTCACTCAGCATGAACAATGAAATTCGGATTTTCAATACAAACGTCAAGTCAGTCAAGTCAGTCACTTCTTCTATACGGATAGATCAGAAACTTGGCGGCGGGTCACAAAGAATGAGTATTTCCAACAGCCTGTTGCACACCTTTATCAACAACTAACTAACTGTCTTCGCTGGCTCTATACTGAAGATCAGATGGCCAGCCGGAAAGAACAAGAACCAACAAGAAACAAACTATGGGAAGAAACAAACGAAACGGGAACCAATCGCCCAACAAATATGCAGGGGAAAGTGGAGGTGGATTGGACACTCACTCGCTGGGTGAGGATGCCACTCGCTGGGTGACATCGCGCGTCAGGCCATAGCTCGAGTGGAACCCGAAAGGGAAGTGGCGGCGAGTGGGACGTCAGTGCGAGGGTGACATGGAGGAGATCGTGTGGGGAAGAGTTGAAACAGTGTGGACTAACATGGATGCAAGTGAAAAGTACAGGAGAGGACAGAAGCAAGTGGAAGCGTGCAGTTGAAGCCCTATGTTCCACTAGGCACCCAAGGGAACACTAATAATAATGAAGAACATATACAACCTGGTATACACATTCGAAGCTAATGATTTATTTCACCAACACTTCATATTATCAGTACATGGATCACAGACATCTTAGTGTCAGTTATATGTGGGGTAAGGATAATTCATAAATGAGACAGTTACTACTTAATAAAATACAACTGCAACAGTAAATTTCATATAAGGAAATAAAAGCCAGACATTTCGCATGCGTACTCACTTGAGATAAATGCTGCTGAATAGAATTCCCAATATACTGTATCATATTTGCTTGCGGTAAGAAATCAATATCAATATGAAAAATAAATTCTGTTGTACAGTATTTTATTGCGATATTACGTAATGTGTTTATAGGATAAAATTTCTAAAGTGCAGAAAATGAGAATGAAAAAAAATTAAAGAAAACAGCTGGATCAAAAATAAACAAATGACAAATAATTCAGCGTTTAAAAATAAGCTTATTACAGCTAAAAACTTTTTCTTCTTATGGAGATAGTATGTATGGACAGCATGAAGAATAGTCAACCAGAGTATTCCCCTAACTAGACAATGTGCGTTGGTGGCACAGTGGTTAGGACTCTCGCTGACCATGCACATAATTCGGGGTTCGATCCCCTGCCAACGCACACCTGAGATCTACGGTCGGCCTGCAAAATTTGGGCTACCGATATCACATGCTGAAAATTCCATACCTGTACCAAAAAATACGGTGTGGAATCAAGCTGTTATAAAAAAAATAAATTATATCAGGTAGTATTTGTTGAAATTACTATTTTTAGATTCTCCTTTGATAGATTTTAATTGGACAGAAGAGTTCTCTGCCTGTTGACACATCGGCCTGCAGTACGGAAGCTTCGACGATGCCTTAAGATTAATATGATGTAATATGGTCGATGCTGGACAACAGTAGAGTCCAGCGTGGAACGCGCAACCTGGTTTAAATAAATATATATGTGCGGAATAGGATGCCCGCCGACCATGCACATGGTCCGGGGTTCGATCCCCGGTCGACGCACTCCTTTACCTTGCTAAGCCAGAATTAATGCTGGTGAAGAGGAAAGGTTGGTCATGAGGCTAGCAACCCCATCCTGTAAAACAAACACTGCTACAGAAACTTCAAGCCACTAGCTTGAAGCCCTATGTTCCACTGGGGAAAGTGAAGGAGAAAAAAAATATGTGCGGAAAGGATGGAAAAAGTTAATTTTCAAAATAGAGGCCGAGGTTGGTTTCTTGAGCTTCCTTACCTTCATTTGTGTGTAAACGAAGAGTTTACATTCCCTTTCAATATGTGTTTAAAGCCATTTATGAATAACTTTGAGTTCGTTTTTTCCTGTCGTTTTGATGACCACTGTCAGTCGAATAGGAGAAACCAGAGTCTTTTGTTGATTTAATCGAATATTTTCCCGATGGCAACAGGTGCCTACTTATTCCTCCTATGCAGCTTCCGACAAAAAATTCTTTAAACTTACAAATGCACTTAAAAATGGTACAACATTAACTTGAAGAATGACAATCGGTCGGTTAGAAAATGGCCAGCAAATTGTGACAGGTTTATGCGCTCTATTTTTACGTTTCTGGTTTACCTTTGCTATACAACTCTGCAAATCTCATCTCGATTGAAATGAGGCTTCATGAGCAAATGTCTCCCTTTTACTAGTGACTAGTTTCAGTACACTACATAATGTTCATATATATCGTTATAAAACTATTAGAATAACCCATTTCACTGAGAGCATCATGGGTAAAAACTGATTAATTTGTAAACAGCCATCAGAATAGACTCCATTCACCCGACTTGGGAAGCACTAGACCCTATTGGTTTTGTAATCGATGGGTACGAAACTAAAGGAAAGTGTATACTGTGCTGTAGATGTGGTCAATATATATACACATATATATCGGCTAGGCGAGATTCAGGGGTGAGTCTTCTGGGAATCGAACGTGGACCTCCCAGACCTCCCGGTATCTTGCAAGTATTCTGTCAATGAGCTATCGAATCAAAGCTGTCATGATTAATTTTACTCGAGAAAATGTCCAACTTACCCCATCCACATAGACAACGTGATAGCCAATATTTGTACGATTTTGTAAAACTCTAGAATTGGTAATAAATTCTACTAACAATGCTGCTTCCCTGTCAGTTAGATATAACGCCAAACTTATTGGTCCTAACCACTTGACTGCAAGCTCTTCAAGTCGATGTATCCTGTAAATGAATAAATTGGGAATGATTGTAATATGTATTGTGCAAATATGGATAATTGGCAGAAAGTTGAAATGATTACGTGTGTGAGTCACGCTGAGTAAATACATTCATAGTAGATGTCAAATCGAGAATCGGGAAGGCGAGAAACACATTAATCATCCACCTGAAACCAATCTGGATATCTTCGTCACTCAGCAACAACAACAAAATTTGAATTTTCAATACAAACGTCAAGTCAGTCAGTTCTTCTATACGGATGGATTAAAAACTTGGCGGTGGGTCACAAAGAATATTTCCAACAAGTTACACAGACCTTTATCAACAGCTGTATTCGTTCTATACTGAAGATCAGGTGGCCAGAAAGAACAAGAATCAACAAGAAACTATGGGAACAGACAAACAAAACAAGAAGCAATCGCTCAACAAATATGCAGGAGAAAGTGAAGATGTTTTGATTTGACACTATGAACTAGTGTTATGCGTCTAGTCCTCTCTTTGGTGAAGACTGAATTCTATCCGTTAGGTTGTAATGTGGCCACCATTCTAGGTAGTTCATAGTGTCAAATCAAAATATCTACTACAGTCCTACAGGAGGTCAATCGCGAGCCCGAATAGCTCAGTGGTAACGTCTCTGACTGCAGCACTGGGTGACGCGGGTTCGAATCTCAGAAGGGACATGAGTTCCTTCAAGGTTGCAGATACGCCTTGCTGACGAGTGCCAACTAGCACGAAACCTAGGTCCAAGGCTTCCTGCCGATTGCCTCCAACCACCAACTTATATCATCACAAAGTGAAGATGGATTGGACACTCACTGGCTGAGGAGGCCAGTGGCTGGGTGACATCGCGCGTGAGGCCAACGCTCGAGTGGAACCCGAAAGGGAAGCGGCGGCGAGTGGGACGTCAGTGCAAGTGTGACATGGAGGAGATCGTGTGAAGAGGAGTTGAGTGAGTATGGACTAACATGGATGCAGGTGAAAAGTACGGCAGAAGACAGAAGCAAGTGGAGACGTGTATTTGAAGCCCTATTTTCCACTAGGAACTCAAGGGAACAATAATGATAATATGTTGTAAGATGCACGACTGTCGATATTCAAGGTATTATTTTGTTTGACGTAAGTCTTTTATTTTGGGGGGATTTGAATTTCTTGAAGAAAACTTTTCAATTTTTAAACGGTACAAAGAAAAATTTAAGTGATACGAGATATGATGTAATATGTTATCAAGAAATAAGGTTATTCAAATTTTCTCAATATTGTAAAGGAACAAAAGGTTAAGCAAAGTTGACAATTCGGCTTCAAAGTGTTATCAGAAGTTCTGTTGACCAGTTATGAAAACTACGTGGTCTTAACGATAGAGTTGTTCCAAATTTTTTCCACTTGAATCGAGTTTGAAACTAGAAAGAAAGATTTTTCAACAGAAGAAAACAAAATGCTTTCTACAAATTCATACAACTTATCCCCTTGATCGTCTTTTCAAAGCAAGAAGAAGTAAATCTGAAAGTTTTGTTTGCAGATCTTCTGATTAGAAGTCACAAGAAGGTTCATTTCACCTTTATTATTATTATTGTTCCTTTGGGTTCCTAGTGGAACATAGGGCTTCAAACACACGTCTCCACTTGCTGCTGTCTCCTACTGCACTTTTCACCTGCATCCATGTTAGTCCATACTGTTTCAACTCCTCTTCACAAAATCTCCTCCATGTCACCCTTGCACTGGCGACCAACTCGCCGCTTCCCTTCCGCGTTCCACTCGAGCTATGGCCTGACGCACGATGTCACTCAGCGAGTGGCCTCCTCAGCGAGTGAGTGTCCAATCCATCTACACTTTCTCCTGCATATATATCTGTTAGGCGATTGCTTCTTGTTTTGTTTCTTCCCATAGTTTGTTCCTTGTTGGTTCTTGTTCATTCCGGCGGCCATCTGATCTTCAGTATAGAGCCAGCGAAGACAGTTAGTTGTTGATAAAGGTGTGCAACAGGCTGTTGGAAATACTCATTCTTTGTGACACACTGGCCAAGTTTCTGATCCATCCGTATAGAAGAACTGACTGACTTGACTGACGTTTGTATTGAAAATCCGAATTTTGTTGCTGATGCTGAGTGATATGTATTTTTGAAATAACCACTCGGAACAGATATAGCACATAAACCAACTTAGTTTCAAATTTAGTAACTTCTATGGTACAAGAATCGTGGGAACTAGCTAGTTCATTTGAATTACATTTATGTCTGAGAGTGAAATTAACAACCCTGCATTTGGAGGGATTTAGCTTAAGACCACCAGACAAGGACCACACTGGCTGATTTCAAATAAAAGGCTATTCATGTCGGAACAGCTTGATAGGAAAGTAACTTGTGTGTGAAGAGTCAGATCATCGAGATACTCAAAAAAAAGAATTGGTTGGCTTCATCAGAACGGGACAAGTCATGCAAGAGGAAAGAAAAGGAGGGAAAAGCAGCACCCTGAGGGACATCAGTTAGATTAAGTGGAGCGGTAGAAGACACTTTACTTTTATATATATACAGTGTACTGCTTTCTATCAGATTAAAAATAAGGATTGAACCATGTATTAATACAGCACCCTGTTTCTCTCCTGGGAAGCTTGTTTAATAAAAGAGGCTAAGGTATGGAGTCAAACGCAGATATATATAATCTAGGAAGTCACACCAGACACGTTTAGCACCCTTGTCTAGACATACCAAACGGAAACAACACTAATAGTGTGGTGACAGCTGGCTGCTAGCGAAAGTTCGTAGACAGTAATTGACGTCAATGTTTATGTCATAAGAAAAAGGCACAAACAGCGAAGAAAATTTTCTTTTCGACGATTCATTTTCATGAGCTGTACAATCATAATTATAATTAACAAAGAAATCTTTAGACCAATCAGATACTGGAGAAGCCTCCGGTGTCAAACATCGCAACGGTTTCTAAGAAGACTCTCTTCATGAAACTAGAATTAAAAGGTGATGCCGCAGTGGAAATTCTCAGAAACCACCTTTCTAAATGTCTGAAGAAGACATTTCCAACAGCCACTCTACGTATCACATTCTCCTGCAGACACTTAATCCAGTCTAACGCTAAGTAGAAGATACCGCTTTCGGCCGCTTTAATGCGTATTTATCAATTTACTTGCTCATGTGGAGCAAAGTATATCGGCCGTACGCAACGTCAAGTCCACAAACGTATTCTGGAACACTGCCCAGATTGGTTAGCCAGAGGAGAAAAGAAGAATAGCAACAGCTCGATCCTCGAATACCTTGTCATCTCTGGACATCGAGCACCCCCACATGAATGCTTCACAGTGTTACACAGAGTCCCTCAATATCGTACAAAGGGACTTCGGATACGCCATCTGTACATAGCTGAAGCATTAGCTATTCGAGATCTGAAACCGGACCACTGTATCCAAAAGCGATACATACATTCTCTTGCCTTACCATGGCCAGAGTAAAGTTCTTATCACAATTTTGCTTCTTTCCTTTATTATGTAAGTTCACTGTTATTACTATTATTATTTTATTTTATTAATACTTTTATTATCATTATTGTTCCCATCATCCACATTTTATTATTGCTCTATTACTGTTTATTAATAACATTGCTTTTCATACATATTTTATACAAAACCACTTTATAGCCTTTCCACTAGTTCCTGTCCATTTTACACGAGCTTATTGATTATTCACTATCTCACACTTATTACGTCATGCCAACTTCTGTCTCCTTTCTAACCTACAATTAGTCATCCCTTCTTACACCTTACATTATGTAATACATTTTTCAAGGACAAAATTTACCTGTATCAGATTGGTCTAAAGATTTCTTTGTTAATTATAATCACGATTGTACAGCTCATGAAAATGAATCGTCGAAAAGAAAATTTTCTTCGATGTTTGTGCCTTTTTCTTATGACTCAATATGGGAATATTTCGTTCAGTGTTTATGTCCCCAATATTGGTGGTGAGAAAATGAGAACAAAGGCTTTGCATAGGCGGATACAGTGGTTAGGACTCTCGCCGACCATGCACATGGTCCGGGGTTCGATCCCCTGCCGGCGCACACCCGATATCTATGGTCGGCCTGAATTTGGGCTACCGATATCCATGCTGAAAATTCCACACTTGTACTGAAAATACGGTGTGGAATCAAGCTGCAAATCAAAATAAAAAAATAAAATAAAAAAAAGTTAGCATATGGATGATCTGACACAGCCATAAAGAGATGCAAGTTTAACTTTCTGTGAGAAACAACCAATCAAAAGACTGTATCTTCTATTAACAATAATCTACAATAATGTACATTAAAATCTATAAATATATGTTGATTTTCCTTAATAAAGGATCTGTTCCCTGGCCCTTGTCTTTTGTTGTTACAATAGCATCAGAGTAGTAATAAATGTAGTTGTGACAGCAAAACTTGTGAACGTCATGGTGCACTAGAATGGTAAATTAGTCACTGTAAAAAAAACATTTCCGCTTCACGCCGTTCCTCGCAAACTCAATGATAGTATTCGTAACAAAAAACAAACTAAAATGACAAAGCACAAAATAATGTTTTAAATTACCTATCGAAAGTGAGTTGAGAAACAAGGCTGATACTATTTCCAATATTTGTTATATTATCTTTATTCAGACTTGTCACATTTAAAATATTATGATGTAAAAAGTACGGGTGTATTCTATGCTTCACGTTCATATCCTCTTGAAATTCTTCACAACCTTCAATTGTAATCTTTTCTGAATTCATTTCATTATACTATAAAAATAAGCAAATGAAAAACAAGTTCATTTGAAGGTCTGAGCTATTAAAATATCAGAGTTTAAAGGATTTTCATATTAGACATTCGAAGATAGCGCAGCTAGTTAGTAGTTTTTCTCCAGTTGCCAGAAAGATGTGTATCTCGAGCACTGGAAGAACTTTTACTTGGTATGGAAAAAGACGACAGAATGGAATTCTGAATTCATTTCTGCATAAAAGTTAATTTATCTTCAGAATTAAATCTCAGACCATTATGGTAATGGTTCTTTTATGTGTCAAGTCACGATAGGCCATTTAATCGCTCAACTACAATCATTATTATTATTATTATTGTTTCCTTTAATTCCTAGAGGAACATAGAGATTCAGCCGTGCGTCTCCATTGCCTTCGGTTCTCTGACAAAGTTTTCATCTGACTCCAAGTCTGCCAACACGTTTCCATCTCCACTTCTTATGACCTCCTCCAAGTCACCCACCCTAACACTGACGAACAACTCGCCGATTCCCTTTCAGTCTGGTTCCACTCGAGCAAAGGCCTGTCTAGTGATATCAATTGATGGTTTGCTTCCTCAGAGTATGGCCAGCCAATCCATCTCCATTTCTTCCTGTTTATTTGCTGCACAATCGGTTCCTGCTGGGTTGGTTTGCTCCCACAGGTCCGTATTGCTGATCTTTTCTGGCCGGCCATCTGATCTTGAGTGGTATTTAGCGAAGAGAGCTGTTAATGAAGGTCTGTAGTTTGTTTGAGATGCCCTTCATGACGCTCTGACCAAGTCTCTGAACCGTATAGTGAGTAGCACTGACTGACTTCACATTGGAGTTGAAAATCAGGATCTTATCTTCGTTTTCATGCTGAGTGCTGTTGACCTTCACAGACTTGAGAGTAGTGAAAGCTTGTTTTGCTTTCCCGATCCCCACTGTTTTGATATCCTCATCAGTTCCGTTCGCTTGTAGTTGAAACGATGCTTCCCAGGTAGGTAGGTGGGTAAAGGAGGTTGTTTCTTTCAGGTTCCTTCCATTTACGCTGGCTGGTTGTTGTCTGTTGTTGTTGTTCTTGTCCAGGAATCTTCATCACCTCTGTTTTCTCTATGTTCACCTGAAGTGTAGGCCTATCTTTGATGCTTCTTCTGCTAACTTGTTGCTTTTCACTTGCATATCTTCCAGTTTGTGGGAAATCAGACATATATCATCGGCGAAGTCCAGATCCCCCAAAACTTTTGTGTGAGTCCATTTTATGCCTGTTTCCTCGCTTCCCGCCGCTGTTTGTCGCATTATCCAATATACTGCAATCAGGAAAATCATTGGCGGTAGTAGGCAGCCTTGTCTTACTCCTCAACTACAATCTGGTGACATCTTATTTATAGAGAATATCGGGTAGACCTCTTGCAATCCTTCACGATAATAAACAAACAGGTTGGGATCAAGCTTCTTGAAGTTAACAGAAGCCATTGCAACTGAATTTTGTTAGGATCCAATTTGGTATTTCAAAATGAATCTTAGTCTCTCCCTGCCTTGACAACTTGGCTATTGATCTTTAATTGATCATATTACCTGTAATTAATTATAAGTGTTGTTCTTATTCAGTCATACCATCAATTCTAAACACTATACCTCAGATGTACTATACCTAACTAAATTAGCTTAACTCCGAATGCATATTTTGACATATTTCATTTTGTTTATCAATAATTTCCTAATAGGATGCCGTGACCAGTAGGGTTGAGGCAGTATAACTCATCGAAGAAGACATTGGCCTTTGGTTGGTTAGAATTTATGGGATGGCCATTTAATGAGGTCCCAGTGACTGAATGGTATACGAGCTCACCTTGTAACCAGAAGGTCCTGAGTACAAACCCCGGTGGGTGTGTACTTCTGGGGAGTCCGAAACAGCTGTCCAGTACTCACTGGTGGTTTTCCAACGGTCCTCTAACTGATGTCAGCCCATGATGAAATCCTCCAACCAATTTCCTAATGCTTTAAGTAATATCTTGTTACTGCTTTAGGCCTGTTTTCCCCCATCATATTTGGCATACATTTGCAACAGCTTATTATACTACAGTAACTAAACATTTTACTAAATCTTCATACCATGATCCACATTAATTATTGTTTGACATTTACTTCTTGAATAGACAAAAGCATTTTGCAATTGTAATAATGCTATGATCTGTTATTGTTCGGGTTTTAACAAGTTGACAAGATACCGACTGATGAAATAACATGGATCCATTTTATCCTGCTCTGTGTTCTTAGTTTCATCAGTGATTCATCAATAGAATCCCCGCCAACTGCGCATTTGTTCCAGCGTTCGATCCTCGGCCGACTCACTAGTAAACTTCACTTAGCTGGTAGTAGTAGGCGGAGTAAACAGGAGAGGTTGGATGTAAGGCCAACTACGCTATCCCTGTTATTGCTTTGTACAATTTGCGTGAGGTTAACAGTTCATTTTATGTATGCGAAAATCAACTGGCATGGATAAACTGGATATACGGAAACCAAAATCACCCGATTGGAAGCTTTTAGATATAATGGAGAAGATTTGTTGCTTAGATTGGTGATTTTGGTGTAGACGTATTATCTTTGCACCGATTATGGCACTCTACTCGTACTCATGCAGCCAGGTGAGGGCTAATTGGCGAGTTGTCATCTGAAGTGGTGACGACTAGTGGCGTCCGTCAAGGATGCCCATTATCCCCATTTCTATTCAACTTCATCATAAGTGTACTAATGAACTTAACCCTAACTCACTTCAGCGACTCAGGGATTGACTTGCTACCAAGGAATAATCTCGTCGACTTAGAATATGCGGACAATAAAGTCCTTCTAGGCGACGACGCTGACAAAATACAGCAGAGTCTTCTGAACACCTTGAGCTGCAATCTACAAATGTTTGGCATGCGATTCGCTCCCTCTGTCAAATGTAAGATGATGTTACAGGACTGGACTACACTGACTCCTAGATAAAAAATAGGAAGTGAAGTGGTAGAGCACGATGACCGCTTCACTTACTTGGGAAGTACCATCAGCCAACCCCAACGGGTTGATCTCTGACGAAATCTCAGCACGGATACAGAGGGCTAGTTTCGCATATGCCAGTTTACGCCGTCTCTGGCTTAGTTGACGTAATATCACACAGACTATCGACCAAGGGGCGTGTGTACTGCTCAACAGTCCGCTTCGTCCTCCTCTATGGCCAGCTGTGAGACCTGGCCATTGAGAGTGGAAGACATGAAAAGATTAGCTGTCTTCGATCATAGGTGTCTGCGTTCTATCTCCCGTGTGAAGTGGTGTAATAAGGTGAGCGATATTGAGGTTAGGCATCGGTCGAGTGCTAGGTAAGGTGGGAGGGGAAATCAATCGACGAGGCTGTGAAGCATCTGCATTGACTGAGATGGTTAGGACATGTGTTACGTATACCTAGTCATCCATCGCCTTCGTCGACAATGGGCAATGTTAGCTGATATAGGGTCAAGCTGAAAAAAAAGCTAGCGGTGGTCAAACCAAAACATGGCACCAGTCAATGAAATCTAAAACAGTTAGTCTAAGCCAGCCACGTAGGAAGGTGTAGACTGGCTTCCTGACTGGTTGGGGTCCTCGGGACGGTAAAAGCCAGTGGTTGGAAACAATTGGTGACATGGCACAAAATCGTTCTCAATGGCTGGCACAGATGCATCCACTCCTTGTGACTTATGATTTCCAATGAAACTGTTTTGTTCTTCGTTATTACTATTGCTTTGTCTCAAACCTCTGTTTACTGTCGCTAATATGCATTTCTCCTACTTTCTTCTGTTGCTTTGTGTGCTACAAGGAGGTAGTGTGTTGACTTGAACTGCCGCACATATGTGCAAAGTTCTATGTCGAAAACAGACAGACAGATGTATTATCTGAGCTGGATGAAGTCAAACTGAAGTATACACATTGAATAAGTTGTCTCATAAAGCAATGGAAGCATTTCAACTAAAGTATTCAGCCAACGGAAACACACTACATGCTACTCGACGTATTGGTGAGTATGTCACTAAATAATTTAGAAAAAATATAACTTTTACTTTCAAAATTTATAAAAATTAATTCTCAAACTGTCAAAACATTTTGAAATGACAAAAAAATGAATAAAAATTACCTTTAGAAAAGACGAACTGTAGTCAGGGAATGTTGAACAGGTTGTTGGTTCTACAGGTGATCTGACTAAAACTCCATCAAGATTTTGATAATAACGGTACATTCTAACGAATTGTCTTTTCAACTTAAGGCCTGCAATATATTACAACATGCAAAGTGATTGAATAATGTTGAGCATGTTGGAAAATAAATACTTCAATTAAAAAAATTTGAGTCACCTCAACGAATATATCTCCAGAACATAGAATTCAAAAGCAATAAGAGTTTTTCGGATATTGGCTCTCATTGACAACTCGTTGACTCGTTATACATTTATGTCATATTTTTAATGTGATTATTATTATTATCATTTTGATGGCTGTACGACTGCCCACAAGCTTTCCTTTCCCTGCTGCTAACACGACCTCCTCCATATCATCCCTGGATCCATGGTCGACTTGTCGTCTCCTATTTGAGTTCCACTAGAGGACGTGGAGAGTGATTTCACTTGAATGTCCCTACAGTGTGTATTCAGCCTATCTACATTTCTTTCTGCAAATCTTTTCGCTAATGGTTTATCGGTTCCTTCGCTGTCTACCAGAGATTTTTTTGTTGCATATCCATTGTCACCGGTAATCTTATCTTCAGAATTCAAAGAGATATTATTATTATTGTTTCCTTTAATTCCTAGAGGAATATACGGCTCCAGCCACGCGTCTACATTGCGTTCGCTTCTATGCTAGAGTCTTCACTTGGCTGGCTCCAAGTCTGACCACACACTCTCATCTCCTCTTCACATCACCTCCTACAAGTCACCCACCCTCGCACTGACCACCAACTCACCGATTCCAATACAGTCGGGTTCCACTCGAGCAATGGCCTGCCTAGTGATGTCACTCACTTGATGGTTCGCTTCCTCAGAGTATGGCCAGCCAATCCATCTCCATTTCCTCCTGCCTGCCTATTTGTTGCACAATCGGTTCCTCCTGAGTTGGTTCGCTCATTGCCAGATATCCCTCTCTATTGCTGATATTTTCTGGCCGGCCATCTGATCTTGAGTGGTATTGAGCGAAGACAGCTGTTAATGAAAGTCTGTAGTTTGTTTGAGTTGCTCTTCATGACGCGCAGTGCTAGTCTCTGATCCATCCGTATAGTGAGTAGCACTGACTTCACATTTCAGTTGAAAATCCGGATCTTCTTTTTGATGCTGAATTCTGTTGACCTCCTCCACACAGACTTGAGAGTAATGAAAGCTTATCTTTCTTTCCTGATCCTTGCTTTGATATCCTCGTCAGTTCCGTTCGCCTGTAGTTGAAACGATGCTTCCCATGTCGGTTGTTGAAGGAGGTTGTTTTTTTCAGGTCCCTCCCATTTATGCTGGCTGATTGTTGTCTGTTGTTGTTGCTGCTTTTGGTCGTGTTGGCCATTAATCTCCATCACCTCTGTTTTCTCCATGTTCACATGAACTCCTATCTTCTCTAGATGCTTCTTCTGCCAGCTTGTTGCTTTTTTCATTCGCATATCTTCCAGTTTGTGAGAAATCAGACATATAACATCAGCGAAGTCCAGATCCTCCAAGTTTTATGTGTGAGTCCATTTTACGCCTGTTTCCTCGCTGCCCATCACTGTCTGTCTTATTATCCAGTCTACTGCAATCAGGAAAATCATTGGCGATAGTAGGCAGCCTTGTCTTACTCCTCAAGCTCGCCGACCATGCACATGGTCCGGGGTTCGATCCTCAGCCGACGGACTCCACGTCGGTGGCACAGCGGTTAGGATAGGAAGATTAAACAAAGCAAATTGTTTACCTAGTGACTTACGTAGTGGATCATCATCGGCAATTTCACTCATTGTAATCATATCTGCTTTGATTGGATGGTTAAAATGAGCAATTTTTAATTGACGGTTAAATCTGTGTAGAGTGACACCTTCTCTGGGGTTACTGAATGACTCGTCAAACCCAATAATTTGACATAATTCTGTGTTCATATTAGATGTGAGTTGTACATTCCATTCACACGGTAACTCATAAATACTTGCGGGATATTTTACCAATGCGGTATTAATGATATCCTTAATTATGACAAAGAAAGAAAAAAGGTATCTAAGAAGGTTATTAGCAGAGAGGGATAATACAACACTATCAAAAATAGTCAAACACATTTTTATTCATTATCGCGTTGTTATTGTTACAGTATTTTTATTTGTCATTGTTGTTAACAACGTATCCTGTGTTAAAGTGTCATCTGTTTCAAGGGTTGGTTTGCAGGATTTGGTGGATTTCACACTTGAGAGAAGGACTGCAAAACTGGAGAGTACTCGACAACTGTACTGCATATTTTGGGACTTTTCCCCCTACCAAGGATCGAACTAACGACCGTCAGGTTACCACGCAAGTCGTTTTTTCATTCAGTCTTCGGGGCAGAATCTAACAGCTGGTGAATTCAAACTTCTACAAGCCAGTGTCATCGGTATTTAACCATCCTGACACCCAACACTTGTTGGACCCCACTTATGACTCCGTCTCACTAGAATTTCAGTCATATCCGTCCCTTAACCAGTCACTAGTGAGAATCAAGTTAAATTTCGAGTTCGGTGTGTGTGTGGAGGGGGGTATTTGAGTGGTTTCAAGTTTGGTCGCGAACTGACTGTTCAATACTCCCTGGTTTTCAGTGGTTCTCTGACTGAAATTAGTTCGTGACCAAACTCAACAACCACTTCGTTGCGTAATCAATTCAATTTCTTTTTCTACTAGAAGTTTACTCAGGTTGATTAAAATGTCAATGATGTATTCACCTGTGCCTCCACTGACTGTTTTGTTTTGTACCTGAAGCATCTGCCAGGAATGGAGCTTAGGCTATCTGTGTGTCTGACAAGTATTCAACAACCAAATTACCAACTCACACTTGTAGATCACTTTGATAATAAGAACTGCAAGAACTGGAGAGGAATCATGCTCCTGTCGAAGCAAAGTAAAATCCTGAGTCGCATCATCCTGCAGAGGATAAAGGACGCACTGGATACAGAACTCCGACCAGAAAAAAATGGATTCAGGAAAGGCAAATCATCTTCTCACCAAATTGCAACTATACGCATCATCATCACAGAACAAAGCATGGAATGGCAATCAAACCTCCACCTCAACTTTATACACTTTGAGAAGGCCTTCGACAGCGTTGACCACGAAGTAATTTGGAAACTGCTCGAGTACTACGGCGTACCCCAAATATTCATCAACCTTATTCAACAGCTGTACGACAACGAGACATGTCAAGTGATCCACAACGGAAAACTCAGCGAGGCGTATTTTTGAGTAAACACAGGAGTCAAACAAGGGTGCTAGCCTATTATCACCAATGATATTCCTAATTGTGGTGGAGTGGACTGGATTATGCGTCAGACAGTGGGAAACGAGAACACAGGGATATCATAGACCGACGTGAAGAACCTACAAGACCTGCATTTCGCGCTTGGATGATTTGTGTTTGATGTCACACAAAATCGAAGACTTACAGGCGAAAACCGACAAACTGGTCGAAGAAGCAGCAAAGACAGGAGGCCAAGTGAACAAAGACAAGACGGAGGTTATGAAAATAACCAACCAACCAACAACAACAGCAACATCCAGTGCCAATCACCATCAACAGGCGGGATTTGAAAGAGGTTACTTCATTCATTTATCTAGGCGACCAGCACTGTCTCAACTATAGGCAGGTGGAACGGACGAGGATGTCAAATCGACAATCGGGAAGGTGAGAAACACATTCATCAACCTGAAACCAATCTGGAAATCTTCGTCACTCAACACAGCCAGCATCAACAATAAAATTCGGATTTTCCATACAAACGTCAAGTCAGTCAGTTCCTCTATACGGATGGATCAGAAACTGGGCGGCGGGTCACCAAGAATGGGTATTTCCAACAGCCTGTTGCAGACCTCTATCAACAACTGACTGTTTTCGCTGCCTCTATACTGATGATCAGATGGCCGCCGGAAAGAACAAGAACCAACAAGAAACAAACTATGGGAAGAAAAAAACAAAACAAGAAGCAATCGGCCAACAAATATGCAGGAGAAAGTGGAGATGGATTGGACACTCACTCACTGGCTGAGGAGGCCATTGGCTGAGTGACATCGCGTGTCAGGCCATAGCTCGAGTGGAAGCCGAAAGGGAAGTGGCGGCGAGTTGGTCGTCAGTGCAAGGGTGACATGGAGGGGATCGTGTGAAGAGGAGTTGAGACAGTATGGATTAACATGGATGCAAGTGAAAAGTACACCATAAGACAGAATCAAGTGGAGACGTTTAGTTGAAGCCCTATATTTTACTAGGAACCCAAGTTTCTGATCCATCCGTATAGAAGAACTGACTGACTTGACTGACGTTTGTATTGAAAATCCGAATTTTGTTGTTGATCCTGTCCCAACCTCGGATAAATAGGAAGGTTTGGGGCGTGGTGCTATGAGCTCCACCTCCAAAACCTAACCAAATCGCTGCAGAAACCTCAACGCACAAATATATTAAAAACTCTAAAAATATAACCAATAACCTTATTTTTCGCTGGAATCGGGGAAGTGAAATGACGCAGGCTGGTGAAAGCCTTCGGGAAGCCAGTCAGCCGATGTGCCTGCTCTCGATAAAAGCAAAAATAATGATGGGGACGTGGAATATTCGTACAATGTACGAAGCTGGTTAGGCAGCCCAGGTAGCCGCAGAAATGAGAAAATATGTAATAGAAGTGTTGGGAATCTGCGAGAGCAGATGGAACGCATGTGGAAGGTGCCAACTATCAAGTGGAGAGACAGTCACCCAGAGGACAGCCACAAGCACACCGAGGGAGTGGCCATCATGATCTCACTAACAGGAACCAAAGCTCTCATGTAGTGGGAACCAATCTCCTCTAGAAGTTCTGAATGATACGGAATATATATGTAAAGTGAAAACTAACCTGGTCTGCTAAACTTGCATGAGATATACGTAACAATGCAGATTTTGTTGTTCTACTCCAGTGTTCTGACCAATGAAATTTTCTGAGACGATCAAGGTGTAACAACATAACACCAGTGTTGTAACCCGATCTCTTATAAAAAATAAACAAGTAAAAAAATATTAATAAACAAGTTTAAAACTGGGTTCTGTGTTAGGTTGTTACGCCTGATGTAAATTTAATAAATATCAGGCAAAGTAATTCAAAGCGAAAAGATTATCAAAGCATTTGCAGTGAAGACAAGATAACTCTACGCAAAACTTGATGGCGATGGACTAAATGATGTGGCACCTAGTGAATGAGTAATGAAAGAGAGGACAGACAAACGTTGTTAGACTAACAAAAATAGCCTAGAAAACCTGCGCATTTCTTGGATGACTTATTGCTCGTGTCTCAAAATCTCGAAGATATGAATACGGAAACCAACAGTTTGACGGAAAAAAGACAAAGTCAGAAAGGATTTCAAGTAAACATAAAGAAAAGATGGAGACAATGACTATTCACGACCAAACAATAACAAACACCAATCACCTTTACTGAGGGAAACCTGGAGAACGTTCTCTCTTCTACTTAAATGACCCACAAGAGGTGCGGAAGTGGATGCCACAGCTAAGATAGGATAGGAAAGTCAAGTAAGACGTTGATTGTCCTGAGATTAGTGGAGCAATGTAAAGCACTCCTCAGTACATAGAACAGTATCAAAATTTCAAACATTAAATATCAAGTTTGTGCTTTTATATGGTTAAGATACATGACACGCTTGTCACAAAAAGCATCTCCGATAGGTGCCTGCGGACTTTCTTTGACACCTACTTTCATTCGATACTGAAAACCAGATAGCCGGTAGGAAAAGATAAGCAACCAAACGGATTTTGGCAGAGACGCGCCCAGATAATCATGTTATTGTCTAAGACTTATGCAGAAGGATATGGAAGTAGATTGGATGTATGTTAGAGAGATGTTGATGTCACGTTGATATCACACGCGAAGCAGGATCTTGAGTGGATGGCGAATGGGAAGTGACAAGTCTACTGCGGTTCCGAGGGTGCCATAGAGAAGATCATGAGAAAAAGAAGAGATGAATGATTTTCAGCAGACGTGGAGTCATTTAGAAATGATAGCAGAGTAAAGTGTGGAATAGAGATGTGTTGTTGAAGCCTTGAGTCCTATCTGGAAATCATGGAAAAAAAAATAACTTAAAAATACATGTTCTCAATGTCTCATATTAACGCTGTTCTCCAACCTTGTATTATTATTGTTATAATTGTTTCCTTTAATTTCCAGAGGAATATAGGGCTTCAGCAAAGCGTCTCCAGTGCGTTCTGTTCTCCACCAACGTTTTCACCTACCTCCAAGTCTGCCCACACGCTTTCATCTCCTCTTCACATCACCTCCTCCAACTCACCCACCCTCGCACTGACGACCAACTCGCCGCTTCTCTTTCGGTCATGTTCCACTCGAACAATGGGTTGTCTAGTGATGTCACTTGATGGTTTGATTCCTTAGAGTATGGCCAGCCAATCCATCTCCATTTCTTCCTGCTTATTTGTTTCACAATCGGTTCCTGCTGGGTTGGTCCGCTCATTGCCAGAGATCTCTGTTCCTGATCTTTTCTGGCTGGCCATCTGATTTTAAGCACTATTGAGGGTAGACAACTGTTAATGAAGATATGAAGGTTGTTTGAGATGCTCTTTATGACGCGCAGTGCAAGTCTCTGATCCGTATAGTGAGTAGCACTGACTGGCTTCACATTTCAGTTGAAAATCCGGATCTCAGTTTTGATGCTGAATTCTGTTGACCTCCACATAAACTTGGGAGTAATGAAAGCTTGTCTTGCTTTTCCGATTCTTGCTTTCATATCCTCGTCAGTTCCGTGCGCCTGTAGTTGAATCAATGTTTCCCAAATCGGTAGGTGAAGGAGGTTGTTTCTTTCAGGTTCCTCCCATATATGCTGGCTGATTGTTGTCTGTTGTTGTTGCTGTGGCTGTTGGTGGTGTTGTCCAGGAATCTTCATCACCTCTGTTTTCTCAACGTTCACCTGAAGTCCTATCTTCTCTGGATGCTTCTTCAGCCAACTTGTTGCTTTTCGCTTGCATATCTTCCAGTTTGTATGAAATCAGGCATATATCATCGGCGAAATCCAGATCCTCCAAGTTTTTTGTGTGAGTCAAATAAACATCATATTCAAATATGAGCACTTTTCTACACCATTTCCTAATTTATCCCTGTATTACTTATGATATATGATTTCATATTAGTTGTCACTGAATAACACAGATAAATGACCTCCACACATTGTCATTTCCCATGACCTTTCAGAAAAACAATTTAACCGTAAAGCTTTGATGTGGAATTATGAAAGGAATATATCCCTGACTAACCTGTCCATTTTCAATAGATTTGAATTTACCACCTTCATGTAGAAAAGATAAATAACATGTGCATATAAAGCATACTGATGTATTATAATAGAATATAATAAACAGTTATCTGAAAGTTACCTACCCATGCAGGCCATACGACTCTATTGGTTTTTCTTAAATACCATGGACTTTGATTTGCAACTAATCCTATCATCTGCAATAGAAATTAAAAGTAATAATACAACTGAAAAATGAGTTCTCTTTTATTGTGAATGTTCTTTTTAATGTTCTTCTCTTCACAAAACTCTTCAAACTTGTAATTAATTAGTGCTAAAAAGTTATTTTTCTAATAAATAAATAAATAATTGCCCTGATTAAAGAGTATTATACTAGTTAGTACTTGTATGAGAGTAATTCTGTATAGGCAGCAAGGTAAACAATGGTTCCCTATTCAGGTATCTGGTCTTACTACTGACCTGTTTTGTGATATCAATTTTAACAGCTTAGCAATAATTCATCTTATTTTTGGAACCGGTTCGGAACTTAGCATAACTAACCATGGGTGTTAGTCAGGTTACGGATGGTTGTCACAGTAAGTCAACAATCTTAAGTTCAGCTTTTACTGTCAACTGATTCTGTCTACAACAAAAAGACATCTAGTGATAATTTTTTGCTGTATAAATAACTAAAATTTCAAGTACTTTTTGGAAGGAGAAGTTATGCAACTCTGCTGAAATTACTTTGATTGGACACTAGTAAAAGTACCTAGGGGCATGCGTCGAGGTCATTGGTTGGTGGTCACCATATTACCACATTGTTTGAAGAAGATATCAAAGCAAGAATCGGGAAAGCAAGACAAGCTTTCATTTCTCTCAAGTCTGTGTGGAGGAGGTAAACAGCACTCAGCATTGAAAATAAGATCCAGATTTTCCACTCCAATGTGTAGTCAGTGTTACTATACGGATCAGAGACTTGCACTGCGCGTCATAAAGAGCATCTCAAACAAACTACACACCTTCATTAACAGCGGTCTTTGCTCAATACAACTCAAGATCAAATGGCTGGCCAGAAAAGATCAGCAATACGGGCCTGTGGGAGCGAACCAACTCAGCAGGAACCGATTGTGAAACAAATAGGTAGGAAGAAATGGAGATGGATATTCTGGCCATACTCTGAGAACCATTAAACAAACCATCAAGTGACATCACTAGACAAGCCATTGCTCGAGTGGAACCCGACTGAATGGGAAACGGCGATTTGGTCGTCAGTGTGAGGGTGGGTGACTTGGAGGAGGTGATGTGAAGAGGAGATGAAAGCGTGTGGGCAGACTTGGAGCCAGGTGAAGACTCTAACAGAGAACCGAACGCAATTGAGACACACGGCTGAAGCCCTATGTTTCTCTAGGAATTAAAGGAAATAATAACAATTTCCAACTTCACTGCTAGAATTTATTCAGCACCAAACAAAAGACTAGACTGATAGTACTAGTTACTACTAACCAGTGTCCAGTCAAACCATCTAATACAGTCCTACAGGTGGTGGTCAGTAGCTTAGTGGTAACGACTCTGACTGCAGCACTACGGTGACGCGGGTTTGAATTTGCAAATGGGATCTGAGTCCCTTCTAGATAGCAGATACACTCCTTGCAGACGAGTACCAACAAGGGTGAAACCTGGGTCCAAGGCTTCCTTCCTTCTGATTGATTCCAACTATCTAATAACAACGGTGCGTCGGTGGCATGGCGGTTAGGATGCCATGCACATGGTCCGGGGTTCGATCCCCGGCCACTGACGCACTCCTTTACCTCGCTAAGCCAGAAATAATGCTGGTGTAGAGGAAAGGTTGGGCATGAGGCTAGCAACCCCATCCTGTAAAATAAACACTGCCACTAGCTTGAAGCCCTATGTTTCACTGGGGAACGTAAAGGAAAAAAATCTTATAACAACAGTATATAATCTTCTATATCATAATATTATTACAAAAAACATACATTTTGAATATGATCCTGCAATGATAAGAGTAGTTTAATTTGTGGTTACCGTTACCGAAACAAACAGTTCGTTACTAAATCTACCTTAAAATAAAAAATACCTGGGGACAGAACGCTATCGTTAAATGTCATAAGTTGGACGTTTAAGGAACAAGAAAACTAACCTGGGATGAGTTGAACTTATCAAAGTACCTCCAAAGTTCCAAAAGATCAGAATTTACTAACAGATCAATATCAAGACTTATCACCTGAAATATAATGAATACAAGATTAAAATTTTTTGAAAGTGAAATATTACGAAAAACATTTCTATCTGTTCAGAGAACCTAAAGATTTTCACTGACTCTATGATCTTCCAAGTAAAATTTTATAAATGATTTGATTTTTTTATTATTTTGATTATAGCTTGAAACCACACAGTACTTTTCTTACATGTATGGAATTTTCAGCATGCGATATCGGTAGCCCAAATTTTGCACGTCGACCACTGATATGAGGTGTTCATCGACAGGGGATCGAACTCCGGACCATGTGTATGGTAGGCGAGAGTCATAACCACTGTGCCACTGACATACATCAACGCTTCTTCTATCTGTTTTATTTCATCGTTTAGGTCTTTTCTTGTGCTATTTAGTGCCACTGCTCTGTTTGTTAGACACTTAACTAAGTCTGCCTTCACAGACAGATAACGGGTGAGATGAATTAAAGTCTAAATATCTATTAGAATGCGTTGGTTTTCTATAAACACTAGTGTGTAGTTTGCCTTCTTCTATTCGTTTTATTTTACAATCTAACATCATGGCTAATTCTCCTTGTTAATCTTCCGATTCAAGTGTGAATTTTATTCCCCCTACTAGTGAGTTTATATGTGTCAAGAAGCTAGAGATATGTTCTGTTTTTAACACTGTGAAAGTATCATCCACATATCTCCACCATATTTTTGGAGTATGATTAAATTTATTAAGAGCACTATTTTCCCAGCTGTACATAAATATGTCTGCTACGTTAGGGGATATTGGTGATCCATCCCATTGCCACACCTTCAGTTTGTCTATATATTTTGCCTTGGCATTTAAAGATAGTAGATGCGAGCAATAACACTCGTGTTATTATTATTTCTGAATGTACATTATCTCATATTGAATTTTATTTCAACATCTAATCGATTCCACACATGTATATAAATGAAGGAAAAAAGTTGTGTGAGTAGTGCCTTGATATGATTATGAGTGGCAATAGTTTGTGCTCGAAACGTCATCAGTTAATATTACTGTACAACACTGTGTGATTTATCAAAATAAAAAAGCTATTTATGGATATTTAGCTGAAATCCTTTCGATCTATTATACTGAATATAGAGAAAGTAGATTGATGCGGTATGCAGAATGTGGGTCCAGCACCACCATACCCCACAAATTAATAAGGTCACGTCATATATGACAAGCACTTTCGATTACGAAAATACACGGTGACTCTATCTTTAACTTTTGCACTTATCATGTCTAGCAGTTTGCACATTTTTATCTTTGCTAATGGTTCAGTTGACTAGGCACTTTTATCATATACAAAAAATCCGTATCTGAGTTACCATATATGATCTAAAATATCTAGTAAATTCTGGTTCACCGTTATTTTGATAAAGCCATCAACGAAACGTCTTTGAAGCCAACACTGTTTGATTTTCACTGACTGGGAAATATAAAATGCTTTATAACAAGGAAATTACATTGTTCAAAAATTGAATCTGGTGACAATTGAAGTTAATCCGAAATCCCCACAAATCCTCTAGTCTGAATAACAATCTCCAGTTCACTGAGGACTAAAGGATAGATTTCCTGAAGCTGCAGTGATAAGCCGTCACCAGAGAGGTACACTATTTCAGGATTTCTCGAAGTGGATGCTCATGTAAGGTATTGGTGAGGGCAATTTTTATATCATGAATCCACAAAGCTAGGTAGAATTCACGGGTCACTGCATTCCAACCCAATTGGCTGAATGATTAACGACGTTGGTCCTGTCACCTGCAGGTTGCGGATTTGATTCCTGGTGAAGTCTCAGGAGAGCACTGTGAAGAGTGCCGAAATGGGACGAAACAGTTGTCTAATGCTCCCTGGAGAATGAAGCAAACTTTACAGAATTTAAGGAAGTGAGTAGGCGAAGTAAACAACAACAAAAAACTGAGTTAGCGACAGTACAACAACCAAATGATTTCAAAACTTCCACGAATATAAAAGAAGATACTATTTTCAAATAATTAATCAAATGAATGGCTTACTTTTTCAACAGAATCTGGTAGAATTTCTGGGATCAGCAGTTTCGATAAACCAAATATCCCAGAATAATGTGTACTTGGTATCCATGATACTTTATTCTAAAGAGAATATTTAAAACGGATCAATTCAATAATTTAATTTATACATGAATGTATATTAATTAATCAATACAAATGTTGAATATTCATTTTACAAAATGACACACTGATGAGTGACTCAAAAACCTTTAAGTCCTAATTCCATATTTGTTTGTTTATCAGAGATATCACACAGTGAAACAGTATTATTTACTGGATGACGCAGTTTCGAACAAAATTTATTGTTCATAATCATATCACTTGTAATAATCACACGATTTGGAAACTTCCGTTTTATAGTTTTCTTTGTTCTCTATTTGTCGTCGTTGGGGTAGTAGAATTTATCTATAGTTTGGTTTGTAAGGATTAGTTATGTTTTACGAGTGGGTGCGTACTGCCGACGATTCCCAAACTAGGATGAAACAGCAGCTGTCCAGTACTCCCTGGTTTTCAATGGTTCTCTAACTGATATCAGTCCGTGATCAACTCGTAGTAGAATTTTCCAAATGTCCGGGTGGACAGGTGTTGAATCATTCCTATTACACCTTCTCTCTTCAGTTGATTCGATAAACAAAGCTTCTGTTATCAATCTCTCCTTATACCCTGTGACATTAGATTTTAAAACTGTCATCCTATCCCATCCTATTGTGTGGTGGTGTGTAACTGCATGTAGTGATATAGCTGAACTATTCTCTAGATTTCTTATCTTATTCGGGTCAACCAATCGAGATTTAGCTAGGTTTTTATGTTCAGCTAGTCTGACTGCCCCTGTTCTACTAGTTTGACCTATGTATTTGATCTGACAATCATCGCAGGCAGGGTATTAGATAAACTAAATTGTTTTGTTTTAAAGGCTCTACAGGATCGATCCTTTAACCGACAAAACTTGTTTCTAATTGAGTTTGTGATGGGTTTGAATGCGAGCCACTTTTATTCCTGCCTGCCTTGTTAAGAGTTCTGCGTAAAGTGATTTCCGAGGTTCCTTCCTTGTATGGAATAACTACTGATGATTTAGATTCCTTATTGATGGTGTTGTTTTGCGCATATTTGACATGCATATCGTGATTATTATTATTATCACTGCTATCATTATTTATTTTATTTTTACATTTCCTTACATATTTCCTTACTAATTTATCCGGTTAGTTATTAAGTTTCAACAATAAGGAATCTAAATCATCAGTAGTAATTCCATACAAGGAAAGAACCTCAGAAACTTTACGTCGAAGAATTCTTAACAAGGCAGGAATAAAAGCGTCATTCAAACCATTTTCAGGGCTGGTTGATTCGGCAGGTGAGTTGTTACACACTCCTTAGTGGTTACCGACTTCCATGGCCACCGTCCTGCTGTCTGGACCAACCAACACCTTTTGTGGTATCTCATGAGCGTCGCGTTAGGCACATTAACTTCACGTTTGGTTCATCCCACAGCGCCAGTTCTGTTTATCAGAAATGGCCCACTGTGCACTCACATTCAATGTAAAACTACATTTAAGCGAGTTAAGCTTCTCACGCATTTAAAGTTTGAGAATAGGTTGAGGATGTTTCCTCCCTAATGCCTCTAATCATTCGCTTTACCGGATAAAACTGTTTATATCTCAGAATGCCAGCTATCCTAAGGGGAAACTTCGGAGGGAACCAGCTACTAGACGGTTCGATTAGTCTTTCGCCCATATACTCACGTTATACGATCAATTTGCACGTCAGAATCACTAGGAGCCTCCACCAGAGTTTCCTCTGGCTTCAACCTTCGCAAGCATAGTTCACCATCTTTCGGGTCTCAACATGTACGCTCTTGCTCGGCCCCGACGGTGCACATAGCACAAGGCCACATATCTACGTCATGGGACGGGCCGGTGATGCGCCTGCTGCTCGCAGCTTGGAATTAATGAGCAAAACAACAGGATCTCACCTCAGCCTTGACAAACCAAACCTTTATCTTCACTGCGCCTTCGGGTTTCGTAAAGCCCAATAACTCGCGCACATGTTAAACTCCTTGGTCCGTGTTTCAAGACGTGTCAGGTGGATAGTCTACCACAACACCACAGACTACTGGCCCAAACTAAGACACACACACCACTACCAACTGAACATGATCAAGCCATCAACTGACCAGCCAAAACTAGCAACAAGTCGACCAGACTCGGCAGCCTGCTTAAATCACGGCGCTACCTAGATTTTCCTCCTATATAATGCATCAATTTTTCTTCATTTCTTAATTATTTTATTCATTGAATTCTGACTTTGGATAGCAAAATATACACATACGCATATTTCTAATTAGCTCTTAACATGAGTTAGACTTCTTAAGGTAAATTCCGAAGGTTTCAGATATATGCAAAGAAAAACGAAATTATATTGTAAAACTGAGATTAATGGGAATACAGTACGCTACTTTAAAAGCCTCCTTAACATCGATTTTGTGCTCACAGTCTACGAGATGAGTTAATAATACACAGCTGTGGATAGTTCTTGTATATCCCTCGCTAAACAACACAAAATGATGATATTCAGAAATCCGATTACATAACTACACATACTTGTACGCCGACTGTAACTGGCTCTACAGGAACGATCAAAATGACAGGAACACATAGAAGAGGCACAATTAGGTATTATTATTGTTCTCTTGGGTTCCTAGTGGAACATAGGGCTTCAACTACACGTCTCCACTTGCTTCTGTCTTCTGCCCTACTTTTCACTTCCATCCATGTTAGTCCATACTGCTTCCACTCTTCTTCACACGATCTCCTCCATGTCACCTTTGCACTGACTTCCCACTCGCCTCTTCCCTTTCGGATTCCACTCAAGCTATGGCCTGACGCGCGATGTCACCCAGCGAGTGGCCTCCTCAGCGAGCCAGTGAGTGTCCAATCCATCTCCACTTTCTCCTGCATGTTCGTTGGGAGATTGGTGCTTCTTTTGTTTATTCCCATGGTTTGTTTCTTGTTGGTTCTTGTTCTTTCCGGCTGGCAATCTGATCTTCAGTATAGAGCCAGCGAAGACAGTTAGTTAGTTGTTGATAAAGGTCTGCAACAGGCTGTTGGAAATACTCATTCTTTGTGACCCGCCGCCAAGTTTCTGATCCATCCGTATAGAAGAACTGACTGACTTGGCTGACGTTTGTATTGAAAATCCGAATCACTTTGTTGTTGATGCTGGCTGGGTTGAGTGACGAAGATTTCCAGATTGGTTTCAGGTTGATGAATGTGTTTCTCGCCTTCCCGATTCTCGATTTGACATCGTCGTCCGTTTCACCTGCCTGTAGTTGAGAGAATGCTGGTTGCCTGGATAAGTGAATGAAGTAACCTCTTTCGAATTCCTCCTGTTGATGGTGATTGGCGTTGGATGTTCCTTCTGATGATTTTGTTGTTGGTTGGTTATTTTCATAACCTCCGTGTTGTCTATGTTCACCCGGAGTCCTGTCTTTGCTGCTTCTTCGACCAGTTTGCCGGTTTTCTCTTGTAATTCTTTGAGTTTTTGTGACATCAGACATAAGCCATCCAGCTTTCCAGCTTTCAAAGGCTTGATTGCATTCAAGACTTCAGCTTTTGTTGGTGGATTGGTGTCAACTTGCAGTTGTGTACGTGCTGTTGTTGGTATTTCTGGATGGGTTGTAGGTGGTTTACCCTCAAATCCCCAAAGTAAACATGGAGTTGGTGTGAAGGGACAGTGAGCTTCTGTCTGTGGCATTGAATACTCACTCTTTTTATCGCATTACTTAAGCATTGCGTTATTATTTCACTGGTTTTATAACCAAGGAAAAGAAGTTTAAGCTACAAGGTCTTCTTCAGAACTGTTGGTACATTTAATTTGCCTTGGCTTTAGATTCACCTTCTTGTCAACGAATTTCTCCGGATAACCATTTTTTCACTCAATAATTGTTTCGTAATACAGAGCTCTTCATTAAGACATTTCATGACAGCAAACTGCTGTTGTTCTATAGACCAAACACATTATTTGACTGCGCTTGCATTTCAAAAGCTACTGTTCTACTTGAAAATCTCTTGTAAGAATTTTTTTTATTCCTTCACGTTCCAAGTGGAATATAGGGCTTCAAGCTAGAAGCTTGAAGTTTCTGTAGCAGTGGTGATTATTTTTACAGGATGGGGTTGCTAGCCACATGCCCAACCTTTCCTCTTCACCAGCTTTTAGTTCTGGCTTAGCGAGGTAAAGGAGTGCGCCGGCCGGGGATCGAGCCCCGGACCACGTGTATGGTTGGCGAGTGTCCTAACCGCTATATCACCGACGCACCCGCTTTCCAATAAAGTATGATAATAATTCCCTACTGTGTGTAAACATATTGTTTAGGACAAAGCTATTATTAATATTACCATTACTTAGGTGAAGTACTGACATAGTTATGCGGGCGAAAAAAAACTACACATTGACTGGCGACCTGATGACTCGAGGGATCTATCATCAAGGTGTTCTAGGAAGGTTGGAGATTTCGATGACGGAATTCAGAATTTCTGTAATATTTGCGTATTTTTCATGACCTTATCTTGTATGAAACGATTTGACAATTGAAGAAAAGTTTGCAAACATTTAAGTATTCCTTAAATGTTTTCGCATTTTCTCATGAACACTTCGACTGTTTGTCCGTTTTATGTCATTTATATACTTTAGAAGTGTGGCCAACGCTTTCATTGTGTTTCAAATCAAGCGCAACAAGATTATTATTATTTCCTTTAATTCCTAGAGGAATATAGGGCTTCAGCCACGCGTCTCCATTGCCTTCGGTTCTCTGACAACGTTTTCATTCGGCCCCAAGTCTGCCCACACGCTTTCATCTCCTCTTCACATCACCTCCTCCAAGTCACCCACCCTCGCACTGACGCCAAACTCGCCGCTTCCCTTTCATTCGGGTTCCACTCGAGCAATTGCCTGTCTAATGATGTCACTTGATGATTTGTTTCTTCAGAGTATGGCCAGCCGATCCACCTCCATTTCTTCCTGTCCATTTGCTGCACAGTCGGTTCCTGCTGAGTTGGTTCACTCAGTGCCAGAGATCCCTCTCTGTTGCTGATATTTTCTGGCTGGCCATCTGATCTTGAGTAGTACTGAGCGAAGACGACTGTTAATGAAGGTCTGTAGTTTGTTTTATGTGCTCTTCATGACGCTCAGTGCAGGTCTCTGACCCGTATAGTGAGTAGCACTGACTGACTCTACATTGGAGTTGAAAATCCGGACCTTATTTTTGACGCTGATTGCTGTTGACCTCCTCCACACAGACTTGAGAGAAATGAATGCTTGTCTTGCTTTCCCGATCCTTGCTTTCATATCTTCATCAGTTCCGTGCGCGTGTAGTTGAAACGATGCTTCCCAGGTAGGTAGGTGGGTAAAAGAGGTTGTTTCTTTCAGGTTCCTCCCATTTATGCTGATTGTTGTCTGTTGTTGTTGTTGTTGCTGTTGGTGGTGTTGGCCAGGAATCTTCATAACCTAGCACAACACGATGTGACCCAATAAATTCTACTTAATTTTTAGCAACAGAAAGAGTATTCTGGTGCAGAGTTTCATTTATTTCAGGAAAAAGTATAGAATAAAACTTGTTTTAAAAAAGAGAAACAATAGCTTGTAAACACAAACACACATACCACTCACACCTTCATCTCCATGTAATCATTAAATAAATAATTAATGGGAAATTTTTATTTGTCTTAACAAAACAAAAGCATGAACTAATACATCATTTTAGAGAGTGACACAATTGTTAAAGTTGTTTGTCTATTCATCGAGTATAAGGAGGGAACATGCAATTGATCATTCACAATGAAAAGAACTATTTAAAGTTTATGTAACCTTGTGTAATCTGACAAAGATGAATTTGTTATTTGTTAAGATGAAGCTAGATGAAGTTAGTAGAGTTGCAAACATTCAACTTATTATTTCTACTGAAAATGTCTACTCCTTTATATTTATCATCTCAATCAGTTTTTTTTTCTGTTTTACTAATTTAGAATTATATACATACTTATAATAACTACTACCTATCTGTGTTAGATTAAACTGGAAGGCGAGGTTACTACTTACAAAACTAATCAATAATTACCCCACAAATAATTCACTATCATCTAGTGTACTTATGAATATTACGACTGACGTTCTCCACGAGACCAGTGATTTGCATGGATGTGAAGGATAAGCTACCGCTGTTGTTTTCATCTATGTGCATCTACCAATTCAACTGCTCGTGTGGAGCCAAGTATATCGGCCGTACTCAGTGTTCGCTGTCCAAACGCGTCAACGAACATTTACCTTCATGGTTTTATATAGAGAGAAAACCGATGCCCCCGCAGCTCGATCTTTGAACATTTGACCGAATCTGGACACCAAGTCGAACCACAAATAAACTTCAAAGGTATCTACAGAATGCAAGGCAATCCTGCTAAAAGTGTACGGATCAAACTCCTCCACATCGCAGAAGCAATGGCAATTCATCTGCTAAATCCTGAACTCTGCATACAAAAGAAATTCGTTCATTCATTAAATCTACAATGGACGTAATCTTTCTTAATTTCAGCCTTACTAATTGTATTATTTTGTCTTCTGCATTTTATTATTTCACATCTTCATTTGTATTATTCTCTACCCCACCCTTTTGTAATCTCTACCCTCATTAACAGTGTTGCTAACTCGACCCACGTCCAATTTCTAGTCAACTATATTACGTCATCCAATTTACTTACTAAATTCTCAACTGTATTATTCTCTACCCCCACCCTTATTTAATTTTAACCACCACTCATTAACACTGTTGCCGACCTGACCTACTCTGAATTCTACTCAGTTGTATTACGTCATCCAATTCACTTAATCAATTTTATTTCATTTTCTATCTAATTAACGTAATTATCTAAACTTTATAAATCTAATATACACACACAAACAAAATTGTATCTAAATGCGATTGTACAGGTCAGTGAATGAATTCGCCGAAAAGAGTCTCTTCGCTGAACGCCTTCTTTTCAGATTAGAGTCATTGATGTTTACAGTGTCAACAAAACAGTAGCAGAACTACTACTACTACTACAAGAAAATAGCTGTTAAAGGTGAACGCATTCTTGGAAGAACACCTTACTTTCTACACTAAATGATTAACTTTCAAAGTGCAAAAGGAGACTGCTACTAGCTTATCACTACCTTGGTAAGCACTAACTCATTCACCAGTAGGATGCAGCAGGTCGGGTGTGAGGACAAATACCAGCCGAAGACATTGGCTAGCGGTTGCGCTATATCGTGAATTGGCTGAAGTTAGAATTCATGAGCCATTGGATCGGGTCCCAGTGGCTCAATGGTCTACAAACTAGCTCGCCTTGTAACCAGAAGGTCCTGAGTTCGAACCCCGGTGGGTGCGTACTGTTGAAGAGTCCTAAACTAGGACGAAACAGCTGTCCAGTACTCCCAGTGGTTTTCCAATAGTTCTCTAACCAATGTTAGCTCATGATGAAATCCTGTAATCATTCACTTTTACTTGTTGAAATTTCTTTATTTAATTCAATTCACATTCTCTCCAATCGACTCATTGGACCGAGGTGCTTGGTCTCAGGTTGACATGTTGGCTACTTATACAGATGCTTCAACGATGTTCGATCATGTAACTTGAAGTCAGCTGATGGATGGTGACTGGCAGTGGAATCCAGGATTCAGGCCATTCGTCCTATTTGAGACTGACTCATCATCTGGATGTACCTGCATTCCCCAGTGAGTGATGGTGCTTTTAAATTGAATTAAGTAATTAATTAATAAGATGGATTCGAACCCAGGACCTTCTGGTTACAAGGCAAGTTGCGTACTGATGAAGAGTCCCAAACTAGGACGAAACAGCTGTCCAGTACTCCCAGATGGTTTTCCAGCGTTTCTCTAACTGATATCAGCTCATGATGAAATCCTCCATGCAACCAAACAAAATCCCTACAAAATTAATACTTGAAAATTAAAATTATGACTTATTTGATTAAAGTTATTAAAGAAAATACATATTTCTAAAAACCAGTACTCACCGCGTATTCCTCCAGATGGTAGTAGTACACATTGATATTAGGGATATTCCATGTTTTAAATAAGACACTGAGACTTCTATAAGCCAGATAATCAGTTAGTAAGTGTAAATTGATATGAGTAAGGTAACAGCTGCCTCGGTTGATTAGTGATGTTTCTTCTTTATTCTTAATTGAGTGGAATAAGGCATTCGACTGAGGAGGTATTGTCATTTTTGTAGACGGCGTAAGTGATTCCTCTTGCCAGTTTTCTTGCCAGTTTCGATGAATAAGGATACTTTTGATCAATGTTACAAGTTGACGAGCAGCTTGTGCACCTCCAGCAACAAATGATACGTCGATCGTGGTAAACGTCTTCTATGAGTGGGAGAGAAATGCAAACAATTGAGAATCAGTAGGTAGTTCGGTATCCTTTTAATCATATTTACTACTTATACCTATTTAAAAGTAATATGCACTACACTGGTAATCTGACCCTTTTTGAATGGACATATTTTGTTGTATATTATAAAACATCAGATTCTTATTTCAGGCAGTGACGTGTAGTATTATTCTTACAAATTAAGTCTCCAGACAACAATAAATCAACAGGCAAATAAGCATTAAGTGCGTCGGTGGCACAGCAGTTAGGACTCTCACTGACCATGCACATGGTCCGAGGTTCGATCCCCCGCCGACGCACACCTGATATCTATGGTCGGCCTGCAAAATTTAGGCTACCGATATCACATGCTGAAAATTCCATACCTGTAGCAAAAAATACGGTGTATTATTATTATTTATTATTGCGATGGCTTGTCTAGTGATGTCACCTGATGGTTTGTTTCCTCAGAGTATGGCCAGCCAATCCATCTCCATTTCTTCCTGCCTATTTGTTGCACAATCGTCTCCTGCTCAGTTGGTTCGCTCATTGCCAGAGATCCCTCTCTGTTGCTGATCTCTTCTGGCTGGCCATCTGATCTTGAGTAGTATTGAGCGAAAACAGCTGTTAATGAAGGTCTGTAGTTTGTTTGAGGTGCTCTTCATGACGCGCAGTGCAAGTCTCTGATCCATCCGTATAGTGAGTAGCACTGACTGACTTCACATTGGAGTTGAAAATCCAGATCTTATTTTTGATGGTGGGTGCTATTGACCTCCTCCACACAGACTTGGGAGTGATGAAAGCTTGTCTTGCTTTTCCGATCCTCGCTGCTTTGATATCCTCATCAGTTCCGTCCGCCTGTAGTTGAAACGATGCTTCCCAGGTAGGTAAGTGGGTAAAGGAGGTTGTTTCTTTCAGGTTCCTCCTACTTATGCTGGCTGATCGTTGTCTTTTGTTGTTTTTGCCCAGGAATCTTCATCACCTCTGTTTCCTCTCTGCGTTCACCTGAAGTCTTATCTTCTCCGGATGCTTCTTCTGCCAACTTGTTGCTTTTCACTTGCATATCTTCCCGTTAGAGGGAAATCAGACATATATCATCGGTGAAATCCAGATCTTCCAGGTTTATTTCGTGTGAGTCCATTTTATGCCTATTTCCTCGCTTCCCGCCGCTGTCTGTCGCATTATCCAATCTACTGCAACCAGGAATATCATTGCCGATGGTAGGCAGCCAGCCAGCCAGCCTTGTCTTACTTCCGTCTTCACTTCGAAGGATTCCGTGAGTTTCCCGTGGTGGATTACTTAACATGCAGCATTGTCGTACAGCTGTTGGATGATATGTATAATTGTCGGTGGCACCCCTCGGTAGTAGCGAAGTAGTTAGCAAAGCACCTCTCCATCGACTGAACGTATTAGTAAAGATAAAAATGTGCAAACTGCTAGACATGATAAATCCTAAAGTTATAGATAAAGTCACCGTGTACTTTCGTAATCGAAAGTGCTTGGCATATGTGAGGTGACCTTATCATTTTGTGGGGTGTGGTGGTGCTGGAACCACATTCTGCATACCGCATCAATCTACTTTCTCTATTCAGTTTAATAGGTCCAAAGGATTTCAGCTTTATATATATATATAAAGAGAATTTATTTTGATATATCACACAGTGTTGTACAGTAATATTTACTTATGCCCATGTTTCGAGCACAAACTATTGCCACTCATAACCATATCAGGTTACTCAGAAAACGTTTTTCCTTCATTTATATACATGTGTGGAATCGATTAGATATTGGAATAAAATTCAATATGAGATAATGTACATTCAGAAATAATAGTAATACGAGTGTTATTGCTCACATCTACTATCTTTAAATGCCAAGGCAAAATATATAGACAAACTGAAGGTGTAGCAATGGGATCACCAATATCCCCTATTGTAGCAGACATCTTTATGGACAGTTTGAAAAATAATGCTCTTAATACATTCACCTAATCCCACTCCAAAAATATGGTGGAGATATGTGGATGACACTTTCACACACAGTTTTAAATACAGAACATATCTCTAGCTTCTTGACACACATAAACTCACTAGTGGAGGGAATAAAATTCACATTTGAAGCCGAAAATGAGCGAGGAGAATTAGCTATGTTAGATTGTAAAATAAAACGAACAGAAGAAGGCAAACTACACACTAGTGTTTATAGGAAACCAACGCATTCTGCTAATAGATATTTAGACCTCTTTAATTCGTCTCATCCGTTAACTGTCTGTGAAGGCAGGCTTAGTTAAGTGTGTAACAAACCAAGCAGTAGCACTAAGTAGTACAGGAAAAAACCTTATTGATGAAATAAAACAGATAGAAGAAGCGTTGGTGTTGAATAGCTATCCTATAAAATTCATTAGGAAGATCAGTAAATGTCAAAAACAAAATAAAAATAATTGTGGAACTAGTAATGGTAACATAAATAAGAGAGAATATAAGTCATCTACTGTTATACCATATAAACAGGGGACATCTGAGACCCTACGTAGGATTCTAAATAAAGCAGGAATTAGGGTGGTGGCATTGAAACCTACAAACTCACTCAGGTAAGAGAAGCTCTGTAGGTTAAAAGACCCTATCGGTTAACCCAATTCGGCAAAATAATATAATTTACAAAATACCTTGTAATGACTGTGAGGTCAACTACATAGGTCGAACTAGTAGGTCGGGGATAGTCAAATTATCAGAACATAAGAATTTAGATAAGTTAAGAATGGTTGACCCCAACCGGGAAGATAAGTGATTTAGAATAAAGCTCAGCAATTGCACTTCACTCTCAGATGAAGTCAACTTCGTCAAATATGCAGATGACCTGTCTGTATCGTTTTCCATTAAGTCTCAGTCAGACTGTCTCAAATTAAATAGTTTCCTGTCGGACATCAGTGAGTGGTCCAAACTAAATGGTCTCATGCTGAATCCCTCAAAATGCCAGACTATTGACTTCTCCCTTAGGCATAAACGAGATCTACAAACACTAGTAAGTTCTCATGAAGACTGTTGCATTGAGGGGACTAAAATTGAAACTAAGTCTAATGCTAAATACCTCGGTCTAGTTCTATCTTCTGACCTTACTTGGACATCTCACATCCTAATGATTTCTAGGAAAGTGTTCTGTCTTACCTACTACATTAAGAAACTTAGACAATCCGGAATCACCCAACCTCTACTTTCACAATTTGTCAACCCTCGTATCTTACCTATTCTACTTTACTGCTCCCCGTTAGTATTTCCTGGTCTACTGAAAAAGGACTATACCATCCTGAGAAGGATGTTGAAAGTAGTTAGTAGGACTAGCGGTGTAAATCTCGGTCAGCTCGTCACTACTTTAGTTGATAGGCATCTGAATACGTGCGAAAAATGGTCTAAAACCATACTCTCCGACACCCAACACCCCCTCTATTCCCAACTCTCTCCTTGTATCTCATCAAGTAAAACCAGAAATCAGTATAAAATAATCTATGCTCGTACAACCAAGTACAGGAACTCAACGATACCATACTTGGCCCGTGTTCTAAGCGACAGAGACAATGTTAAGCGTGAAACCTAGGGCTTGCTTTGTTATTAACAACATAATTTTAGACTCTTTTATCTCTCTCTTATTTTGTATTCTTTAGTGAACTCCTTCTCAAACATACTTAGCTACCTAAAATATTAACATTGGCTTCCTTTTTTGTACTTTACTATATTCCTTCTATTGTGCATCCACTGGTTCCGACTCTATTAGCACTATGAGTATTACAAAATTGTCCTGTCATTAACCATCATGTAATATTAGTTTTGTGGCTGTTTTTTCTTATTTCTCTATACTTTTCGGCAATATTAAACTGACAATCATTGGTTGTGAACGCCATAGTCACCACCTTAATAAATTTTGTATTATTCAGGATTACTCACACTACCACCACAAACACTGCATTAGACTTTGGTAGAGTTTTGTACTTTTTCACATCTATAATTATTTTGTGTTTATCCTGTTTTTTTTTGCTGTTGGTGTCTTCAGATTTATTTTTTTTCGTTTTTTTTGTTTGTGTAATACTTATTTTAAATGTCGGTAAAATTAGATGCAAATATTGTAGATATGTGCTGAAAATTCCACACTGTACCACTAGTACTGTTTCAGGAATAAAGCAAATTATTATTATTAACAAACAACCACACAAGAGGGTGGGCGGGATAGGGTTAAACTGCTAAGAAGTAATCTAGGTAGGTGGAGAGAGAGTGGGTTGATTACTGAATCCTTGTTCATCGAGTCTACAACCAACACATGCAACAGAAATGACTCAATGCAAATACCAGAAATATGGAAGATATTATTACCGCCGGTCAAATCAGAAGAGGATAATATATAAGCTCAAAATTCTATTTCAATTCAAGCACATCACAACATTCTAGCAAGTTACTTATTTAATATGACTATAGAAACACTCGTCTTATTTCCCATGTAATTGTAATTGATCAATAACACTCGTATTATTATTTCTGAATGTACATTATCATATATCTGGTCAATTCCACACATGTATATAAATGAAAGAAGAAAGTTTTGTGAGTGAGTAACTTGATATGATTATGAGTAGCAATAGTTTGTGCTCGAAACGTGGTCATCAATAAATATTACTGTACTACACTGTGTGATTTATCAAAATAAAATCTTATCCATAAAGGAGTTATGTTCTACCACAGTGGCCAAGTTTTATACTCATATCCTTGAAGAACTTCACAATTATTAAATTTCTAGGCTGCGTGAAACTCTGGAAATTGTTAGTGTAAGCAGTATAACTGTCTAGCAACCCAGAATTCACACACAATTTGTCATTTTTTTCGATCGGTTTTTAGTTAAATAGCCCTTGGTTAACTGGAATACGTAGGTTTTATGAGAGCTGATTATACTATCCCATTTGGCCGGACTGAGGTAGGTGTAATTGGGATTCGAACCATGGACTCATCAGTTTAAAGCCCAGTGCTTAGTGGTCAGTGAGCCAGCTCTCTGCTGACGCACATTTTCACATTCAGTAATTTTTTACACAACAAATGATTTTGAGTATTTCCGTCCGACTTCATTGAAAGCTCATGAATTCCAACTTCTGTAAACATGTGATATGTACAGCGTTTCAGGACCATTAGATTCCTGAGTGGGTCATGGGTGCGTCCTAATGGAAAATCTCAAACCAGGACGCAAAAAGCTTTCCAGAACACCCTGGCTTTCAGCGTTTCTCTCCAGATGATTCTGGTTCTTGACATAAGACATAACTTTAAAAATTAGTCAAACCTTTGAAAAATTACACCTGAGCGACAGAAAATTACAGCAAACAAATGTGAATTTAAAGTATACTTCATTACTTTTTCTTGATTTCCTTGAGCATGTATGCCGAATACTGAGTCTCTTGTTCTCTGTTCATTGATCTTTAGTGTTGAGCATAAGGAGGAGAGGTGAAATAAATTCCAATGACATACGCATGAAACTAACAGGTGCTTTTCATGGCGCAGCAATACCAATAAACAAAAACATGCCAACAGAATGAAACATATTTGAAAGCGGAGTTTTCTTATCATAATAAAAATGTGTGAACGAAGAATCCCATGTGAATCTGATTGACTGCTTTTCATCTGATAACACTTTCTAGGTACTGAACACTTAATGTACATAGTTTTATAACCATGAGCTTTGACTTTCCATTGGAAACGACATATCCTCGTTTAAGTGTAGATACTCACTGAAATGCAAAAAGCAGAAATGTAAGTGATTTGAATGATTGATATTTTATAACATTTTATTTTGAAAGTTTTTTTAAATAAAGAATTGCATTTAGCTGTTTTCAGTATTTCTTATACAAGAACGTAAGCGTAGGCTTTTCAAAGGTTCTGATATCCTTAAGAATCATGGCGTCTTACCTTCTACATCAAGAAGTTAAAACATTCTGGTATAACCCAACCCTTACTCCTACAATTCGTTAAATCTCGCATTCTCCCTATTATTCTCTATTGTTCCTTAGTTCCTTAGTTTTTCCCGGGCTACTGAAAAAGACTATAACATCATATTACGCAGGATGTTAAAGGTTGGCAGCAGGGTAATCAACGTGCCACTTAACCAGCTTGTTAATATTCTGGTCGACAGGCATATGGACTCATGTGAAAAATGGGCCAAATCCATTTGATCTAACTCACACCACCCTCTTCACTCACAACTCTCCCCTTGCATCTATCTCATCAGGCAAAACCAGAAGCCTATATAGAAAACGATATGCTCGCACCAGCAAGTACAAAAACTCAACCATACCTTACTTAGCTCGTGTTCTGTGCGATAAAGAAGAAAGTATTAGGCGTGACACCTGTAATTCATTAAATAGTCAGTAGAACTACTGGACCTCGTCTTTCCAACTCATATCATTTATAGGTACAACGTTTTCTTTCTTTCTTTTCCTTTTCTCTCTCTCTCTTTTCTTCTTTTTTTCTCTTATATGCTGCTTTGTTTCTTTCTTCCGCTAACGCCATTGAATATGATAGCACCTACTTTCCTAACACTTGCAAACACTGTTCAACTTTGGCTTTGCTACCGACATGCCAATATGTTGTTGTCATAATGAACTGAGATTTTCTTAATCTATGTAGAATTCCATTTATTGATAATGTACTAACTGGATGCAATACTGTAGTAAAAGTGCTGAGAATTCCATTCTGTATCACAAGTACTGTTTTGGAATAAAGCAAATTATTATTATTTAAAGTTAATGCTTCTGTTAACTAGTGTTTAAAATCTTTTCACTGGTACAAATGTCCTTCACACATCAAGATAGTAGCTGGCATACAATGCAACTTGTAGACTCCTAAAATACGTGTCTAGATTTCATCTTCATTCAATTTATAGTATAATTAGACAAGGAGGGAGTAATTCAGATTTTAATTTCCCCCACCACACCCCTTTCCCTGTCTAATTTAAACTACAACTAGTTGGTTTTTTATCACTGGAAAATTTATCTGCCATAATCACCTTGGAATTTTATGTTGCTTATAGTTTCTATACATGACGCAATCTTATTATAGTGAGAATGGTTTGTTCGGAAATGTTCTAGCTTATATTTTGATACTGTTGAAGGTGTGTGCGCAGTTGAAAATAACCCCACCAAATAAAACGAGCTCATATTAACACCTGCAAACATATTCAAACTTTCTCCCTTTAATTAATATATGTGTAAAACTTGAGCATTGTGGTAGTTGTGCGTCGGTGGTATAGCGGTTAGGACGCTCGCCGACCATGCACATGGTCTGGGGTTCGACCCTCGGCCGACGCACTCCATTACCTCGCTAAGCCAGAAATAATGCTGATGAAGAGGAAAGGTTGGGCATGGGGCTAGCAACCCCATCCTGCAAAAATAAACACTGCTACAGAAACTTCGAGCCACTAGCTTGAAGCCCTATGTCCCACTGGGGAACGTGAAGGAAAAAAACTGTGGTAGTAAGTGATTCCATATTAGTTTGTTTATTAAATGTATCACACAGTAATGAAACAGTATTACTGTTTACTGGATGACACAGTTTCGAACAAAATTTATTGTTCATAATCATTCCATCAATTATAATCACACAACTTTGAAACTTGAGTTTTATAGTCTTCTTTGTCTTCTCCCATTTGTCGTCGTTGGGGTGGTAGAATTTTCCAGACATCTGGGTGGACAGGTGATGAATCATTCCTATTACAAGTACTCTTTTCACTTGATTCGATAGACAGAGCTTCTGTTATCAATCACTTCCTCCACTCCATGACATTAGATTTTAAAAGTGTCATCTTATCCCATCGATGCTATTGTATGGTTGTGTGTGACTGCATGTAGTGCTATAGCTGAACTATTCTCTAGATTTCTTATCTTATTCGGGTCAACCAATCTAGATTTTGCTAAGTTTTCATGCTCGGCTAGCCTGACTGCACCTGTTCTACTAATCTGACCTATGTATTTTACCTGACAATCATTGCAGGCAGGGTATCAGATAAACTAAATTGTTTTGTTCAATCGGTTCCACAGGATTGTTCCTTTAACCGACAAAGCTTGTTTCTAATTGAGATTGTGGGTGGTTTGAATGACGCTTTTATTCCTGCCTTGTTAAGAATTCTGCATAAAGTGGTTTCCAAGGTTCCTTCCTTCTATGGAATTACTACTGATAATTTAGACTTCTTTTTGTTGGTGTCATCATTAATATTATTATTATTACTATTATTATTATCATTATTATTGTTATTATCACTATCGCTACTATCATTATTTATTTTATTTTTACACTTCCTTATATATTTCCTGACTAGTTTATCCGGGTAATTATCAAGTTTGAAGGCTTCTTTTATGTGTATCAGTTTTTGTTTTAGATTTTCCTTGGTACTACTTAGTTTTTGTGCTCTGTCATTTAAAATCTTTTAATCACCTAAAAAATCATTTTAAAATCTAACGTCACAGGGTATAGGGAGAGATTGATAACAGAAGCTCTGTCTATCGAATCAACTGCAAATACCTGTAATAGGAATGATTAAACACCTGTCCACCCGGACATTTGGAAAATTCTACTACCCCAACGACGAGAAATAGGAGAAGACAAAGAAAACTATAAAACTCAAGTGTCAAAGTCGTGTGATTATAACTGATATGATTATGAACAATAATAAATTGTGTTCGAAATGTCATCCAGTAAATAATACTGTCTCATTGTGTGATACATCTAATGAACAAACTAATATGGAATTTCTCTGTCTAAGCCGATTATGGAAACAGATGTATGAAAGAACAGACATTAGCTAGATAACCACTGAAAGTCAATAATTGCTGATTTGTAATGAAATCTAATTGAAGTATCCCAAGTTCTTATTTGAGTTTAGAAATATTTTTCCGAAAACCGAACAGATCTCCAGATAATACTGGATGATTTTTGCTTAACATTGCTAACTAATAGAGCCTAGGAAATAGGCGACTGGATTCTCCAAATCAATAAGTGACTATACTAATGTCTTCGCTGCTCGACTATATATGTTCTTGCATGTCACCGTTAGATGAAATAATTAGTTCACAATTCTTATGCTGAGATGATGTTGATTCATTGGAAAGCGCTCCAGTGAACAATTTGGATTCTTCTTTTTATACGAAGCATGACAAGACTTTTAATAGGCAGAAGTTGGAATTGATGCACCGGCCATTGGATTGCGGGTCCCATTGGCGTAATAGTCCACAATTTCGCCTTGTGATCTGAAGGTCCTGGATTCCAGCCCCAGTGGGTGCACACTACTGAAGAATCCCAAGCTAGGATGAAAAAACAGCTGTCCAGTATTCTCAGGTTTTCCAGTGGTTCTCTAACAGGTGTCAGCTAATGATGAAATTCAAGTGTCGGTTCGTAGGGATTTCATTGGTTACAGGATTTGAAGCTCATGATGAAAATCCTGTGATGATGAAATCCTGTACATCAAAAACCTGATAAAAAATAGTCATGTTGAGACATTTGAAATGACTATTAGTGAAATCAAATTTGTGAATGACACATATTGAAGTGAAATTTCCTTGAAGTTTCCTTTGGAAACCATATTATTCAGATGAGAGTTATTATTATTATTGTTCCCTTGGGTTCCTAGTGGAAAATAGAGCTCCAAATGCATGTCACCACTTGATTCTATCGTCTGCTGTACTTTTCACCAGCATCCATGTTAATCCATACTGTTTCCACTCTTCTTCACATGATCTCCTCCATGTCACCCTTGCACTGACCACCAACTCGCCGCTTCTTTTTCAGCTTCCACTCGAGCGTTGGCCTGACGCGCGATGTCACCCAGTGAGTGGCCTCCTCAGCGAGTGAGTGTCCAATCCATCTCCACTTTCTCCTGCATATTTGTTGGCCAATTGCTTCTTGTTTTGTTTGTTTCTTCCCATAGTTTGTTTCTTGTTGGTTCTTGTTCTTTCCGACCATCTGATCTTCACTATAGAGCCAGCGGAGACAGTTAGTTGTTGATAAAGGTCTGCAAATGTCTGATGCATCCGTATAGAAGAACTGACTGACTTGACTGACGTTTGTATTGAAAATCCGAATTTTGTTGTTGATGCTGGCTGGGTTGAGTGACAGTGGAAGATTTCCAGATTGGATTGAGGTTGATGAATGTGTTTCTCGCCTTTCCGATTCTCGATTTGACATCCTCGTCCGTTCCAGCTGCCTGTAGTTGAGACAATGCTGGTTGACTAGATAAGTGAATGAAGTGACCTCTTTCAAATCGCTCTCGTTGATGGTGACTGGAGTTGGATGTTGCTGCTGCTGTTGTTGGTTGGTTGGTTATTTTCATAACCTCCGTCTTGTCTATGTTCACCTGGAGTCCTGCCTGTCTTTGCTGATTCTTTGACCAGTTTGTCGGTTTTCGCTTATAAGTCTTCGATTTTGTGTGACATCAAACATAAATCATCCACGCGCGAAATCCAGGTCTTCTAGGTTCTTCACGTCGGTCCAGGATATCCTTGTCTTCTCGTTTGCTACTGTCTGACGCATACTCCAGTCCACCACAATTATAGTTATACCGGCTAAACTGCTCCTCTACAAACTAGCGAAACATTCGTCTGGTGGTTAAGTGACTTCAGTCTGACTGTCAGATA